CCCAATCTTGGAACTGTTTGACATTATGGATTCTACAGGCTACATTCTATAAGAAAATTTTTTTTCCGGGTCGATCTGAGACAATTTTTTTTTCGGGGTTCAAAAAAAGGCAGTGTATAACCTTCCTTTTTACCAAAAATCGACTGCACCAAAATTTCTCGGGAAAACACTTTTTCTTATTAATTTGGGTGCGTAGAATCCAAATCAATTCGTACCTTTTCGATCAGACTTCTCAATTAAAAGTTATAGACTAGAAACCAATTTCGAAAAAAAATTCAAAGGGCTGTAACTTGTGAACTAGTAGCCCAATCTAGGAACTGTTTGAAATTATGGATTCTACAGGCCACATTCTATTAAGAAAATTTTTTTTCCGGCTCCATGTGAGACAATTTTTTTTTCGGGGCTCAAAATTATTAACACGTTTCTCTAATTGGGGTTGATATTTTAATTGAAGTGTTTTACAATGAATTTATCATTTTTTATCGTAGCATGAAAGTGCTGAAATACAATGATAGGCGACGCACCTCGTGTGGATTGTATATTTTGTTACTTTTAATTATCAGCTGCAATTTAAAAAAAAACTGTATGGTAATTGATTTTCGAGAAAGGGAGTACTTTAAAATGTTTTTGTGGTGCACCTCAGAGCTAACCCCCCCCCCCCCCCCCCCCTTCATTACTACACTAATACTTTAATGGCCAGTAACCTATGCAATTCCACCTGGCCCGCCAACTTCATTACTACACTAATACTTTAATGGCCAGTAACCTATGCAATTCCACCTGGCCCGTAAGTACCCAGTCCGCCCCTGCCTACTCCAAAGCGAAGTCAGGCCTGTTTTTGCTACCTTTTAGAAGCTATATTCTTATGGTAACCCTGGCGTCTGGATCGACATCCCCAATTTGTTAGGCTCGGTGCTGATGTGGGGAGCTAGAGGGACGAATTTACATTCTTCTGACATGGAGACTGATAAACGCGATAAAGCCGTGGGGAGGATACCCCTTAACCTATATTACAGGTCATCGCGAGACTCAACAACACACTAAACCAGAAAGAAAGGTCAGACTGGCCCAAATGGTCCACCAGCTTCAACCCTGACCCAGAGGCAGGCTCCTAGAGCTAATTCCGGTCAGGTGTACCAACGGGTAAGCGGCAGAAATCGCAATAACACCCAACCGCCACCAAAGGCGGGTGTCTAAAGCTGCAGCACCGCAAAATTGTAGCTACACGTAATAATAAGCTGCCAAAAGGCAACTCAAAGTAGCGATCATATAGATACCATCAATAACCCGCCTTTTGATGGGTAGGCTAACGGCTAACCAGGCGGATATATGGTACAAAATCACCTGGCCCAGGTTATTAACCATCATCTGTTGGTCGCCTTAAACGGTGCGACGCTAGCACCCACATAAGTTCAGGGGTTGGAGGGCGAGATACTAAAAATATCGTGCAAGAACAACCAGTTCCTGGAGTGGTTGGCAACCTCCCACAATTATGAAAGGCTGTTAGCGCAGAAAGATTGCCTTTCTCAGGCTGTGGGAAGCTGCCTTCTCGGTTCCAGGGGGAACCTAGCGCCCTGATGGCGTTCAAGTGGCGCATGTAAGTGGTGCAGAAATCCTGGGCAAAAGAAGGCAGCTGGTGAAGGATATTTCTCTTATTTTTGGAAGGTAGTTTTGACAAATTGGTAATAGCACAAATACCATATATAGAACATGAAGCATTAGTCTAGTCCTCATTTTTAAAAATGAAATAATGAATAATAGAATTACTGCAAAGCATTTTTTTTGTGAAATTCAGTTGTTGAATTCCACAGTAGAATATCGGTTCTAAAATTATAGCTAGTTTTCATCGTTGGTCCCTACTTTAACCAGTAGAGAACAAGTTAAAAAGTAATCGTAAACGATTTACATAAAGCGCATTTCAACTTGCATTCATTTCCTATTTGTAAGATGCAACTTTTGTTAAAATTGTAAAAATCCGGCCACAAATATGAAAGATAGCGTTGCATAATGTGCAATCCATTTTGATGTCCTACTTCAATTTCAGTTTATAAGAAGAATTTCATTTCAATGCTTTTCTAAATAAGAAAGTTGGAACTGCGCATGCGCAAACCTAAATTTTGAAGCTAACGTTAGATTTTCCATTGTTCCAAGTGGCTATGTATCGAATTTCATTTAAATCCCTCCATAAATAAGAAAGTTGGCACTGCGCATGCGCAAAACCAAATTTTGAAATTGGCGTTAAATTTGCTTTTATTCCAAGTTGCTATGTATAAAAATAAATAATTAGTTCTTAAATTGATCTCGAAGAAATGTCTAAAATATCATATTATCCATGTAACAGAGACTTCGCATTAATTCTGACCAATGAAATTACTAGATTACTAACTTGTAAAATTTTTACACGTCAGCTGTCAGTTTTACAAGTCAGTAGCGTTTAAAGATAACGTTTACCCGTTTGCGTTTTGTCTTGTTAATCAACGTTTACAACTGAGTAACAAATAAAATTATAAACGATCTCTAGGATCGTTAATAAACGGCAAAAGTGTAAAATTATGGAACATGTAAAAAACGGTTTTTTTTTTTTTTTACAATAACTTTTTTTGTAAGCGGTACAGAAAAAATTCCTTCCTTGGTGCAAGACTCGACACCATAACGAACCAAATAGCGAAAAAAGTAGAACAATAGCTCTTAAAATAAAAAACTAGTAGCGTCTCAAAACGAGCGGACGGACGGACAAAGTGGCCACAATAGCGCATTTTTTTTTAATTTTGAAATGCGCTAAAAATGTGTGAGGTCTTCACATAACTGTTAGCTAAATATCTAGAATAATTTATGTTGACGGAGCGCCTTCTGAATACTTACAAAGTAATAAAAATATTATATTTAACATTGTAAAAATGCTTTTACAGAATATACAAAACTTCAAACATTAATTTAAGGATTAACTTAAATATTCGCCTAGTTTATTAGAATTTGAAACAAAAACAGGGGACTCTCAACTATCTAGCGTATCCGCTATTATCAGATCATCTTCGGTTGCACTAATCGTGATCATCATCTTCTCTTCATTGCTCGAACTATCCGAGGAAGCGGACTGCGTCGATGTCGCCGCCTCCTGTAGAACGGTTAAAGATTAATGCGGAATTCCGCCAGGGTGGCTGCTCACCTGAGAATAATTCAGCTGCGTGATCGCGTATTTTACGTTTGACTTTCCGTCTGTAATCCAAACTTGAGGTTTGGGTTCTTCGGGCGGTTCGTCGGGTTCCCACTGCTCTTCCTCTCCCTGTTCGTGGGCGTCGCCGTTTTGTTTCTGCGGGGAAAAAATTGAAATGTGGGAGGAATGAGTGGATATTTACCATTATTCGTTGTTTTTGGTGAGTTTTGATGTGTTTTGAGAGGTGGTCGGATCGCATGAACTTTTTACTGCATTCGGGACATTGGAAGCGTTTTTCGCCGGTATGTGTGCGTCGATGTCGTTGCAGTTCGTCAGATCTCGTAAAACGTTTACCGCAGAATAACCACGTGCAGACGAATGGCCTCTCGCCTGTGTGCCACCGGAGATGAGCGCGCAAATGAGAAGTTTTACCGTACACTTTGTTACAGCCCGGAATATGGCATATGTGCTGTTTTTTCCTATCACTGTGTCTTTCACCTTCGGCGCAATTCGGACATGTACAAGCGACACGCCTCACTCGTTGCTTCTGTAAACCGTCTTGGCTAATATCACTAACTTGGGACGAATTTATGTCTTGGGTTGTCACAACGACACTAGGCGCTAACGCAGGTTGTGTGGCGGAGGCGACGCTTTGTAAAACCTGCCATTTACTAGGATCAGTTGCGGCGGAAGAGACGCTTTGTAGAACCTGCCATTTACTAGGGTCCGTTGGATCCTGCTGCAACTGCTGGCCAACTGCAATCTGCGGCGCTGCTTGCTGTGTGATGACTTGTACGTTTCCCAGTCCTTTAATTAACAGGGTTCAATTGTAATTTCATTGTCATGGGTTGTTCAATGGTCTCCTTGAACATCTGTCCCCAGTTCATTGGCCTGTCACAAAGGCATAGATGTTACATTTGGAGTACTCTCTGATAGTTGGACACCAATGAACAAACCAATACTGGGTAGAGTTGCTCAAGTTCTTTTCATACTTATAGCCACTCACCTGGAATATTTTGTACAGTTGGAACGCCCTGTATATTGGCAACTTGCACCACATTTCCGACGTTAGTTCCCCGCACTTGTTGTAAGTTTGCAGGTATAACCGTGAATTGCTGACCGTTGGCGGCTGTGAATGTCAACGGTTGTGTTGCCGAATCGGCTTGTACTGTAACAGTTTGGGAAGCTACAGGCGTGGGCGTCTGTTGTGACTGACTAGGTTGTGCTGTGGCCGATGCGCTTGCAATTTGGACTTGCTGAAGCTGACCACTTGGCGTAATAATACTGGCCATTTGAGGAACTATCGGTTGTGCCTGTATGATATTTGTTGGTACGGTCGCTAACTGTACGGGAAAGTGAATGGTTTGGTAGATGGTTTGACCATTCGCGGACGATATCGGTACTTGTACTGGAATTGTTTGTTGCATTGTAGGGAATTGTACCACTTGTGGTAGCGACGGACGAACTGCAACGCTTTGTCCATTTGACAGCTGTACGGTTTGGATGTTCTGGAGGTTTGCTGGAAGAACGTTTGGTGCGCGTAGGATTTGACCCGGACTGAAGATCTGTTGTGGTTGCTGGCTTCCTATAAAAACGCATCTACCTAAACGATCCAAATTTACAATTGAAAGAAGATATTAAATACGCTCTTAAGGAGAAACGCAAATTACTCCTAATATTACATTAATTTTATCGCAGTGCCTTTACATTCCCCGTTTTATGATAGCAATATTGTGGTATTTAATAACATTTTGCATTTGACGAAATAAGAATTCCAATACTGTCTACAAATGTATTTCTCATATATTACAATAAAAAAAGTGCAATTACTTAACTACGAAATAAAAGTACAAAAAAATGTTGCCATATTTTCCGAAAAAGGATGTACGGTCATTGACAAAATTTATAACCCCTTTACCACCTCTGCTAGAGGGTGGCGACGCTTTTATTGGCGCAATCATACGCGTATCCAATAAAGACAGCAAACAAGTAATTTTGACGTATTTTAAGGGTTGATCGCAACGTAATATTCACTCAGCTAGTGGAATGCGACTGTTGTAAGTATGCAATTGGGGTGACCGCCAATAATCTGAACTGGATTAAAATCTTTTTTCTAAGAGTAATTAATTTTATTGTATTAGGGGAGGGTGCAGGGTTGATTGCATCTTGTCTCCGGGTAATAGGCGATATGGCTTTATTGAAATGTACTTGGTGTAATTGCCGATCGCTTGAGACATATGGGAAATTGAAATATCTTCTCTAGTACCTAGTGATTTTTGTGCATTTAGGGCTGATGGCAATCTCCTCCTTTGGACTAATGGACCAAACGTTTGAGTCCTACCAGTAATCTTTGCTTCTGACTTCTGAGCGTGTATGATTAACTTTCTCATTGTCGTTAGTCGTACGAAAATCCTCCTCCCCTCTGGCAGTGGGCGGACATTTTATTGTAATTGAGGTAATTTCCAATCAATAAAAGTTATAACGTCGATCTGAGACAATTTTTTCTTCGGGCCTCAAAAAAAGGCAGTGTATTATAACCTTCCTTTTTTACCAAAAATCGACTACACCAAAATTTTTCGGGAAAACACTTTTTCTTATTAATTTTGGTGCGTAAAATCCAAAACAAATCGTACTTTTTCGATCAGACTTCTGAATCAAAAGTTATAGACTAGAAACCAATTTCGAAAGAAAATTCAAAGGGCTGTAACTTTTGAACTAGTAGCCCAATCTTGGAACTGTTTGAAATTATGGATTCTACAGGCCACATTCTATAAGAAAATTTTTTTCCGGGTCGATCTGAGACAATTTTTTTTTCGGGGCTCAAAAAAAGGCAGTGTATAAGTAATAAAACTAAAAATCCCTTTTTTTCCGAGAGTGACTATAATGAATTATTTGAGCTTCACACTATTGGTTATGATAAGTGCCTACTTAATTCTGAGCCAATCGCTTGAGTAATTATTGAGAATTTGAAAATGAAATTGTTAATATCCTTCGCATAGACATACAATATATGGAGTCTACTCTTCTGTATGTATTAGGTACACTCCTTCCTATATATAAATACAAATTAATTGAGAAATTCACTCTTAGAATGTTTATGGTGCTAATATATTTAGGTTGTTTATATTTTATTTTTTAAATTTCGAACAGACAGACGGAATTCACGCAAGTATTCGGTGTCTCTTCGAAATAGGTACGGTAAAAATATGAAATGCAACCGAATATTAATTTCAAATTCTACCACCGTTAAACTTATAAATGGCGATGAGGAGGCGCTTATAGATTCAAAATAGAAACGTTATCAAAGAGTATTATTATGTATTCTTTGGCGTTAAGTATAAAGAAAGTGGTACCTAGATAGGTATAGTTAAGTGTACGTTTAGAAGATGGCGACACTGAAGCGCACAAACTTCTAATTAGTTGAAATTCAAAAAGACGTACTTTAAAACCCAGGTAAACATTTTCCTTCTTTTAAGTTTTACCTGCCAAAGACATCGCAGGTATGAATAGCGCTTCCTGTCCGTCAATGGTGACAGTCTGCATCGGTTGCATAACATTGTAGGCCAAGTTCTGTCCGGCGGCGCTTACGAGTTGCGCTCCTTGCTGCTGTAAAAGTTGTTGAGGTATTCCCACGGGAACGCTAACAACTTGCGGACTTCCGACAGGCAAACTTTTAACAGGGGTGGGCGTATTGGACATTGTAGGCGTTGGTTCACTCGAAGTGGGTCCGATCTTGCTGCAAGTCGCCGCTAAAAGCGCGAGAGGTGAAGGGGTAGGTTTCGTCTCCTGCAAGTGAAAGGCGGAGCTGTATTGCATTCTAAATCATACCCGTAATCTAATCGTACGATACGCATTTCCTTTTGGTAACTGACAAATCTTGGGAAATGAGAAAATCTGAACAGCAAAAATGAACACAACCGGCGCATCCGGGTTAAACCGACCCTTTGCGACGTATTTTTAATGTTAAATAAATGGTCGCACTTTTTCATTTAGAAGCAACAGCTAAAATTTTGGTATCACCTGAATTAGAAACTCAGTCCCGACCCCTGGGTTGGAGCCCAAAGTTCGACCTCCTCTCCAAATGGGACACAGAAACACCCACAGCCCACTTCAATCCTTGCCCGCCCTACAGCTAGCTCTTAACTATAAAAATAACACAAATATCAATTACCTGAGATGCGTTTTGCACGTATTCAGATTTCGTCGCTTCGTCTTCAGAACTCATTATTATAAACAAGATTGAAATGTTTCTGCATGTTCATTGCACTTTGTTTAATAATTGATTGTTGTGATTCTGGCTTTCGAACGTAACTCTAATCGATTCTTACTAAAAATATCACTTTACGCACTTTTTTTTTAAATGCGGCAATTATCTTCGAAAACTACAATGCACAACCCGTTAATTTAAGGGGGATAATAAAATTTGCACGATTGGGCGTGATGCTTTAAGAACTATTCTCTGGGTGAATTCTCTAAACGCAGGCGGGCGACCATCACAAACCACGCCACTCTGTTAACGGGGCCAACCTTGTTACTACGTCATAGGGGGCTCGCATGCGTATTAAAAGCATTCATTCAAATTGCAGTATACCTTTATGCCTATTTATAATGAAAAAATGGCAAATTCCTCCATATACTGACAGCAAGCAAAGTTAATTACTCACACGCACATCGCATATTGCAATTTTTACCGGGCAATTACAAATTTAAAGATAAGAAGAAGTGGCGGGCAAAGGGGCGTCAGCTGTCATCCAAATCGCACCCTCCCCTCAAGCCCCTATGCAACTGGTTTATAAATACCACATTCTCAAATCGCCGTTTCGCCTTTCTCTACATTTGGAAACTGCATTTCGATAATAAAAAGCGACAATTCTCGCATTGCTGTGTGATAATTAGACGACAAATATTAGTCTAGTAAAAGAAAACCGCTAAAACGATAGCCCTAATAGGGGCTGGACACACGGTCTACTCCCGCAAGGGTGGCAATGGTTACGCCCACCTATAATGCACTTAAATTTCAAAAACTCCAAAAGAAATGTACCTACGTCTTGGTGAAATCGTTGTACAATTTCCTGCTGCTCTTTGCGTTACAGGTAGATGCACCAAAGCCAATTTGTCTCAATTATTACATAAAACAAATTTTAGCGGGTTAGTTGCGCGAATTGACGATAGATGGTCAATGCTCGCGTAGGAAATAATAATCCATATTTTTTCTCCCGACTTTAATTTATATTCGTTTTTAATTGACGTACGTGTATAATTGATACGAATATGCTGATCCACACAAATAGTAGCAAGGGAATTAAAAAAGCAGTGGCGGAGCTCAAGGAAGGGGAGGGGACTGGTCTTTGAGTTCACATTGAGAATATAACTTAGGTATTTGTTCTACCTAGAATTGGAACAGAATTTCCAGGAGGATAAAAACGTGAACGACGCGTAGGGACTGTTTGGTGCAATCTCTAATGAAAAATGTAACGCCAGACTTCTTTAAATGGAATGTTTCTGTTTATACTCATAACTTTTAAGGTAAAAATTGATTCCCTACTGTGTTGGGGTTTCCCATTTTTCTGGTAAGATACCTGCAGTCCTCCATTATCCCAATAATCGATGAACACAGTTTACCCAAACACGTGAATGACCTATAGTTTCTCTATGCCTATAGGCATATAAAAACAGGTGGTTGTGTCATAGACGTATTAGGAAAGTATGGTTTATAATCGATTTTGAGTAGTCCTAAATTTGTTTTGACTTCCAGTTTTTTTTCTAACAATTCCACAATTTGTAGTACTCTGGTTTTGTATAAAAACCGCTACGCAGAGGATAGGCAACACACCATGCATTTCATTTTTTCAAAACCTGTCTTATTTTTAAATAAAAAAACAATATTCAAAAAAGGGTATATAAAGACTCTTGGAGTTGGGTGCACACTTAATGGTTAAAAATAATTGACATTTTGACAGTGTATGACTGATTGATAACTTTAAAATTACAAATTGCTGTACAAACGTATGTAACTCTCAAAGGAAATACGATGGACCATTGCTTTATTAGTAAAGTTTTGGTTTGGCCCACTTTGGAATCATGTCTTTACATATCCTGTATTAATGAATAGCCTGTCTATAATGTTCCTATACTGCAACACTTCTAAAGATGGAAACATTTTATCGCTTTGGTCTATGATAAAAGCAGCCCACACTGAGCAAGTTACAGTTAACATGGCAAGTTCTAAATCTTTGACATATACATTTAACACAACACAGTGATCTAATAAACTTTTTATTGCTAATCAGTTTTACAATAAATATGGCAACAAATTCCTCGTTGGTTCAGAGGTGAAAAACTGAATCCTGTAAATACACAGTGGATCTTATGTCATGTGAGCCGTATGTTTAATTTATTTATAAATGATTTACCGCTAAATTGAAGATCACTTTTGCAACTGGTACAAAATGGCATATAAAAATAAAATACACCAACTTGACTAGATGATTGTTTGGAAACAGGAACAACTTAAACATAATCAAAATAGTTTATTGTACACTAAGAAATCTTATCAACTGTTTTTTAGTCTTCTTTTTCCATTGACAGTCGTTTAATATCTGCGAATGTAACAGTCGGTTTATGCTTAACTGGACTGACCTCCTTTGAAGCTTCATTTTGGCCTTTAAAATGTCTATCCCATAAAACACATCCAATCACACATAATACTGATATCAGCAACTGTATCAGTAACCAAACAATTATGTTAATCGCTTGAGTACGTTCGAATAGCTCCCGGCCATGCTTGATACACAATAACGCTTCTGAAACCATGATGCAACCGTAAACCCAGCACTGTGTTCCCACCCGCTTGCATTGAGTATCTGTTACATAAGTATAGTATTGTCTGACCGAAGGAGCAACAAAAACCCCAATTAGAATTAAACGACCCGTAACAATCGGATGGGAGGGTGGCATTTCGAATACATGCTTGAGAAAGAACGTATTCAACTCTGAGATTTGCCAAAATAAAACCAATTGACAAAATGCGATCACACGCATATACGAACACTTGGGATCCAACCAACGAACAGACACCCAACTTTCGGGCGTAAACTGTAACACTGCCCTCTTAATTTTACCCGTAGTCGTGTGAATATCGCGTATACTAGTCCATTTGTACTCTCTCATCTCCAACATTTGGCATATCCTTAAGCCACACCAAATTCCAAACCCGTTACAGACCAAAACGTCCAAAATCCACGCATCCCACCAGCATTCGATAAAATTTGGTAACAAATGTGCGAATGCTATTTCTGTTATCTCCCACATGCAGCTGATTGCCCACAGTATCGCATTGTGACGTATCAAAATGGCTTTAAACAACCAACCTAGATAGTGACCAACAGCGAATATATCCAAGTGACTCCAGACCCTTTCTATTGTTATATCAGAACAATTAACTCCATACTCCTTTTCCATATCAATATGGAAATTTGCCAAGTTAGGATCAAGCCATAAGAATATGCTTCTTACGGTCTTGTAATTTTGAAATAACAGAAATAAGATCGCTAATAAATATAGCACGCTTAAACCGAACACAATCCTCCAAACTGCAGGATGTGGTCTGATAAACGGACCATTTGGAAACGCCAATACGGAAATAATTAAAAAGAAAAATATACAGCACAAAATTCCATCCCAAATGTTGTTCTCTATATTACCATTATCCCTAAAATACAAAAATATAACGACAAAACTGGTGATGTAACGAATTACCTAACAAACGCTGTGTATATTACAATTACTATTGTAATGCCCAGTAATGTAATGGTATGCGGTTTATAGAAAAATTCTAAGGAAATATCATCTACCTGCTTCTCGTTTATGCTTGTAAAACTATCGTGTCGGATCCGTGTTGTACTTAAATTATTTAAGGACGCACTCTTGTTCTTCACTGTAGCCATTTTTGGTGGTCCAATAGTATCATCGATTTTAAAAAATTACTGTTTCAAGTCAAAGTTAAAGTGATAACTTTTTAAACTGCTTTGGAACTAATTTGAGGTTACATTATCACATTATGTCGGACACGAGCCACTTCCATCAGTCCTGCAATATATGGCTGCAATCAATAGAGCGTAATTTATCTACAGTGTGATTGGTTTAACAACAGTCGTACGTCATCCACAGATGAAAAAGCATGGCAATTTGACCGATTTACAATGTAAATAGCCTTCAAAGTTTATGAATGATAATGACTACCAAATCACACACACATAAATATGGACTTTTCATAAGCGGAGTCCCACCAGGCAGCATTTGGGCACACCAAAGGCCCATTGTTCCTACCTCCTATCGCAACTAGGTTCAGGGCCCGTTCCTCTCAATAAAGGGTAGGACCCCGTTTAGCCTAAGTTGATTTGAAACATTCAAATCAGTTATTTGGAAGTACTACAGAAAGTGGTCGCCCCTCGAGTTCGTGTCCGTGTTGCCCCACTCAACATGGTGTGCGTTAGGTTTAGCCAACCACAAGAGGGAGTCCAGATAGGCTGAGCAGCCCACCAAGCGCCTGCTCCGTCCTCTCCCATCTCTCAGCTGAAGTTTTAGAACTACGAGATCCCTTAAACAGAAGACAGCCATTAGACAAAACTCCATTCGTCTATCGACATCAATGCTAGTTCTAGGGTTCAGTTGGTTGTCCCTCTTGTAATGTAAAGAGTTCTCCTTCTGGCCCAGACATGAATAGTTGTGAAGGTTGGCTGAAAAAAGCGTAAAAGAGAAGTGAAGTGGTGGTACCTAAAGAATGCGATAAAGAAATGCCATGGAGCAACGCAAGGGGTTGGTATGGAAAAGTAATGTGAAAGAGGGTTTAAAAGTGATGAAATACGAAGTTTTCTCAATTAAATTGACACTCGCACGGCATCGATAGAGCAAATGCTCCTGGGTGTTTGATGAGTTGCCTATCTTTAATAGAGAAATGAAAATCTCGGATATTCTGTGCTGAACTGAATGCAACCAATATTATGCGTGTTATTGAACTTTCCTAGTGAGAGTTTTTTTGGAATTTAGGTTACGAAACTCATGTTCTCATACATTTTTTGAAATTCTTTACATTCAAAAAAGTCATTCCATAAAGGAGACTTACCTGCTCATTTATTTATATTGTTATTGTGCGTTATATTCTACGAAATAATGGCTGTTGAACAATTCTGTCTTAAGTGGAACAACTTTCAAACTACTCTCATAAATGCATTTGGCAGCCTTCAGAATACGGAAGATCTAACGGATGTAACATTAACTTGTGAGGGATTCAAAATCAAAGCCCACAAAATCATTTTGTCAGCTTGCAGTCCGTACTTTAGATCGATCTTTAAAGTAAGTGTGTCACAATTTGCCGTTGTTGTACGCCCAAATTTTAGGAGAATCCCTGCCCACATCCAGTTGTTATATTAAAAGATGTGTCGTACCAAGATTTGATTGCCGTACTGAATTTCATGTACCAAGGAGAAGTTTTAATAACGCAGGATAAGCTTAGTTCTTTTTTGCAAACTGCAGAAGCACTTCAGGTTTCCGGGCTTGTTGGCAATATGATTTTACGCGATGTTCCTAGTAAACCTATGAAAGTTCTGCCACCTCCAGAACTTAAAACACCTAAACCAAAAACGAAGCACGAAGTCATTTCAAAGACTTCAAAGCCAACAGAAAAATGTGACACTATTATTAGTGACAGTATAAAGGTTGAGATTTCCGACGATTTGCAAAGTGATTACAATTGCAATGACAAGGTGGATATTTACGATACAAGTGGCATGCAGAAACTGCCAGGTTCTATTTTGGAAGCAGCTTTAGAAGTACAGCCCAGCATTTTAGAACGATCCTTAACATCTCATTCGAGTATAGTTTTTTAATTATAAAAATGTACATTACAGTTTTGTTTACAGGTCGATCGCCTACTGTTCCTTATCCCTTGGAAAATGTTACAGTTGTCCAAGAATCTCCACCCGATCATATAGAAACGGATAAAAAGGGCGTTAAACATAAAATATTGGAGAGTGCACTGTCTCCATTTCACACAGTTGATGTTTCGTCATACTTGCCTCAGCAAAAAGTGATAAAGGTAGATGATACCCACCAAAAAGACGATGAAGGATCGATGCAGGAACTACCTTGTGATATCTCTGTATTAAGAACAACCCCTGATAATCAGCAGCCCCATCACAGCTCACAATGTGGTAATTGTCCTCACTGCGGCAAGACTTACTCAAACCAATCAGCTTTAAAGTATCACGTCCGTCTTGTACATTCGGACTTGACAAATATGTACTGTTGTCATTTATGTCCCGAGTCGTTTGACTATCGAGAAGGTTACAAGAAACACATGGTAGAGGCACATAGTGTACGAAACTGACGGCACTTTTTCTATTTTTACAATAAATTTTTTAAAATATTACCAATTTTGTTTTATTGTTCAAAGAGTGGGCAGAGAAGTAAAAATGTTTCAAACATGGGAAAATATTGAACTCTATGGGATAATAGGCAACACACCAAGCTGCTATGACTATTGGTGCACCATATGTACATATAAAATCATGTTTCCAAATTTGTAATTTTGAATTTGGTGCGGCCAAACTTACATAAACGTTGTGATCTGATCCCCAGGCACATACGTGAGAGAATTTCTAAATCATTTCCTGGGGTCTACCAAAACGCTATTTTCTATTTTCATGGATTTCTATCCTGATTTCTATAAAAGAAATGTGAACGAAATACTATATACCTACAATTTTATTTTATTGGCGCGGCGCATAATTCGCGCCTATTTTCCGCACAATTATGGAAATAGTTATTAACGAGCTCCTAAAAGCGAGTTTATGATTTTGGACTATTTGTCCGTCCGTCCATTCGTACGCCCGCCGTCTGTGTAAATGATAACTCGTGCGAACGGTTTCGAATTTCCCAATTTTGTTTTCAGCATTATGTTTTTCATCACCCAGGGAAGAAATGATTAAATTTTCAGTGATCCAGGACCTCGTTTACTATATTTGTTATAAGTTTATTTACATATGGGTCTGGTAAATCAAAGATTACATGAACGAGTGAGATGTTTACTGCCTAAGCGTAGCTGATGCAGGAATTTTGAAACGAGTAACGTAAACTGACGTACCTAACATACAAATAATGTAAAAAACTTTATTTCTTTTTTATATTAAAATACATTAAAATTTGAAATAATTTTTTATAAGAATCTCGTACCTACATTGAATAAAAGCAAAAGTCGGCTAGGTACTTGATTTGTTTGACACATTACCTAATATACAGATTCATGGACTTAGAATCGTCATATTGAAAGGCCGGTAACACATTATCAAAATTGAGAAAGTGTAAAGCACAAAAACTAGTAAATGCAAACATTTTGCTAACTATACTGAGGCTATCAAATATTTGCCATAGTCGTTTATAACAGTTTGAATTTTTGTAAATGAATTTACGTGTGTCCTTTTTTGCACAGTTTATCGAACTCTGCGTCCAGCTAGATCTGCAGCTGATGGGATTTTAAAAGGAAAGTCTCGAGGAAAATAATAATTTTTTGATTTTTTTTATATGTTCTTCCATTTACGAGAATTGTTCAATAGCAACACGTTTAGAGGCTGTACAACATTTTTTATTCAACGGTTTTAAGCGAAGTCTCCATTAACATTAAGGCATGAATCCCACTGTTGTACTAATTTGTAAATTCCGTGATGGTAAAACTCTTGGAGCTGTTTCCCTAATCGCAAACTCTACCTCACCGTCCGATTTGAACCGCCGTCCTTTTAGTGAGTGCTTTAATGGACCAAAAACATATAATCGCAAGGGGACAGGTCGAGACTGTAAGGTGGATGTTGTAAAACTTCCCACCTCATACGACTAAGCAGTTCTTGAATCACCTGGGCTACATGGGGCCGGGCATTATCATGCAGAAGAATGACACCATATGTGAACTTGCCGGGACATTTATTCTTGATACTGACCCGTAAGCACTTTAGAGTGTCTGCATATCGCTCAGCATTGATGTTGACACCAGGTTCTTTAAAATCCAAGAGCAGCTTTCATTCTCGTATAAATTTCCATTGGTTGACGTTCTTCAGCGGCTAAAATCTGAATAACAGCACCCAAGTTATGTTTGCATGGATTTTCTATCATGGATGCCATTTTCAAATGCAATCCCAACGCTTGGAAAAGAGCAAACTGCAAATAGTTTTGACAGACGCTTTATTAGTACTTGAGCAAACAATCTAAACAAATGAATTCGGTTGCCCTAACGACCAGATCATGGCTGCATACAATCCTCGTATAAGCGTTGGTATTTTCACTGCCGTTTTGGAAACATTTATTATAGAACTGTAATACGTCATTATTACATGTTTAACACAACTCTCCCGTCTTCTGTACGTCTAAGAATAATAATTAAGGTTACTTGTGTGCTCAAATTATTATTTAACTTACCTTTCGTGCAGTATTCCTTAAAGTTTCCACCATAGACACATCCATCTGCCTAACCATACTATAAAATACTCCATCTTCTTTTTGAAGCAATGTGTGGGGATGATCAAATTCGACTAGTTCCCCAGCAGACATTACCAATATTTTGTCGCAATCTATTATTGTACTAATTCTGTGTGCCACAGTAAGTACGGTGCACTTAGAAAACTTAGTTCTTATAGTATCTTGTATTATGGCGTCAGTTTCAAGATCAACATTAGCGGTGGCTTCGTCAAGAATTAAAATTCTATTCTTTCGAACGATTGCTCGGGCTAAACATAGTAGTTGGCGCTGGCCTACACTCAGGTTGGAACCATCGTGAGACACTGTGAAGCTCAAGCCTGCAAAACGGTATGGAAGATGAGCACAAAGAACGAGTACAATTTACCTGAAGGAAGGTGGTTGACAATCTCTTTCAATTTAACATCCTCCAAAGCACTCCACAAGGTGTCATCGGGGAATTCTTTGAAAGGATCCAAATTATTCCTAATTGTACCAGAAAATAGGACCGGATCTTGAGGGATAATTGACATTTTCTTTCTCAAATCATGTAAACCGATGATAGTGATGTCAACTCCGTCAATGATTATTGAACCTTTAGTCTCGGCAAGTTGAAATAGTGCAGCAATTATCGAAGATTTGCCAGCACCAGTCCTTCCAACGATACCAATTTTTTGTAAAGGCTCAACAACAAAGTTTAAACCTTTTAATACAAAGGGTTCACCTGGGGAGTATTTAAGGCTGACGTTTTTAAATTTAATACCGCCTAATGATGGCCATGCGACAGATGGTTTAAGGTTGGGCGCACTCTCCAGGGCACGCTCTCCTTCAATTGTGGTGTACTCCAATACACGTTCAACTGATACCATGCAGTTTTCAACATCGGTTAAATGGCGCATTCCCCAGGGAAGCTGCCCGATCAAACGTAGAGATTGGGTTATGACAAGGCCCACGTGTCCGCTGTACACCTCTAAAATTAGATGACTAATAGAATCAAAGTGTGCGTAAGAAAGAATTGGTACCTTCTTTAAGCATGTAAAATATAACAGTACTGCTCACGAATATAAATGATAACAAGTCGATCCAATATCCGAATGCTCGGGACACTGAGTATGACATATGAAGTGCGGTACTATGTGTATCAAGATAATTGTTGAACTCGTTCGTAAGTGTTTCTTGAACCCCGAAGGTTCGAATGGTGGACAAACCTTGCAAAGTAGCTTGCACATATCCGTACAAAGGACTTCGAACTAAACAATCGTTTTATTACAATTATTACCTAATCCCTTATTATCTTACCAACACTTTCAACTCTTAATATTCCTAAATTTGTGCTTAGATAAAATTTTCTTATGAAGAACAGTAACCCAAGCACCAAGATAGTGGGAATAATAAACCATGGATTGACTACACAAATGACAATTAGAAATCCACAGACATTTAAAATTACTAGGATAGCGATAACAGCCATATTCGGTAGCACCTCATCCATAGAAAGTAAATCCTTTGAGAAACGATTTAGGATCCGTCCAGACGTGTTTGAAGCAAAAAATTTCATACTGCAATGCAATAAACGCATGAACATCGTATCGTGAAGAGATCTTGAAGATGCCATGGTTAGGGTTACAAACGTTATTAATCTTAGAATTGCAAAACAGACGGCAGCTACGGCAATACCGCAATAAACTTGCATGTAAATGCTTCTATCTTCAACATGATGATGTTGCTCCACATTTATCCTGTAAGAAAATTACATTTCAACTCGTATTCCTTTCGCTATCTTTACCAGTGCCCTATGAAGTAGACTGATCCACTTATACACATTTCAGCGAAGACAAACGAAAGCACTGTACAGATAACAAACAAAGGATTGTTAGACGCAAATAAGTATCGTTTATATGTGCCGATGGAAATAAATCCTGACTTTCTAGCTTCTTGAACTTGTGTGTGAGTTTCAACCTTGCCGGGTTTTAACATGGAATCCAAATGCGTACGCGAAGCTGATTGGTCTTGGGATATGTATCTTGACAAGTCAAATTTCGAGGCTTCCAATTCTTTTTCAGAGCTTTGCATTTGTACGGCACCTTCGTCTAAGGCAATAACGTAATCAACATATGCTAAGTACTGAAGTTGGTGGGTTGCTAAAAGTACTGTCTTTTCGTTTAGAAAAGCTCGAATGCAGTTTTCAAAAATATGATTTCCTACCCGTGAATCAACGGCCGAAAGAGGATCATCGAGCAAATAAATGTCTGCTTTCTTGTAAACGCATCGAGCTAAGTTTATTCGTGCTTTTTGGCCTCCACTCAAAGATGCACCGCGTTCGCCTACAATGGTTTGGTCTCCATGCGGAAATAGCTTGAGGTCTGTCTCCAGTGCACAACAGTCAATCACCTTCATGTATCGTTCTTCATCCATCTCACTACCGAAAAGGATGTTTTGTCGAATGCTTGCTGAAAATATCCATGCTTCTTGTGGTGCGCAGCTCAAAGAACCATTAACGCACAACTGCCCTATTGATAGTCGTAACTCTCCTTGTATAACCTGGAACAAGCTAGATTTTCCACAGCCAACTGCTCCAATTAACGCAGTTAAAGACTTCTTTTTTATGTGTATGTTTATATCCGTCAGCGTGTTCCGATTTCCATCTTCATCCCACTTGGCAAATCCGCTAGTGATGACCACTGCTGATTCATTATCTTCCGATTTTGCACACAAGTCAATTTCTTGAGATTGTAAGAAAGCGGAAATGCGTTTCAGTGATATTCTCAATTCCGCTAGAACTGCTACGCTAAGCGGAAAGAATGATGTAACAGTTAAACCGAGCGAAGAAAATAGGTTCATGGTTACAAAGACCGCTGTTGCCTCGAAGGCATCATTCAGCAGCACTGAAGATATGATAGTTATAAAGGTAGATGTTGCAATTAAAATTTCATTGAAAGTGAACAAGCCTTTCAAGTATGTCGACTTTTTCATAGAATCTACTTCTAACTTGCGGAACGTTGATATAATCTCAGCGAAGGGTTTCTCCCAGGCGTACATTTTAATTACATTTATACCTTGAATTAGTTCATTGGTTAACCTTATGCGTTCATCTCGTCTCGTTGACACCTTCAATCGATACTTTTTCAATATGCTCCCCAACAAAACTTTAATGCTACGCGTTAAGTGAGTCTCATTGAGAATTTGACTTACCATATACAGGAATAAACATAACCATGAATCCAATTCCAAATGTAGACGCAACACCCATTTTCGTCCACACTAAATACAAAAATAGAACTGCTTGTAAAGGACAAACCCATAACATGTGAAGCAGAAATCCAACTCGTTCAAATGCGTTTATGTCTCCAGACAGTAAGTTAATGATGTAACCAGGAGTCGATTTTCTAAGTGAAGATGGACTTAACTTCAAAATTTTGTTATAAATTAAAGAGCTACACACAACTCTCATTTTAAGTCCCATATGGTATGAAGCCATTAAATATGGTTGTCCAATCAAACAGCAGAAAAGCGTTGATACTATAATTCCCAGTGAGTAAAGGTAAGAAGGGAAACCACTGCAATCTTTTTTTGCGTAATGCCCAATTAAACCTCCAAGAAACAACGCTTTGCATGGCCTGCAATTTTTAAATCGTGAGTTGAAGCTTTTTTCCCCTGAAAATGTACCGTACACTAACTTACTGTGCTATAAAGTTTTCAAATCCAACGGCGATTCCTATGAGTAGAAAATCCCATCCCAATATTTTGACTAATACTTTCAGTAGCGATGGTTTTCTTTTTTGTGTGTTTGCGTTGTCTAATTCCTGCTGCCATAGAACTTGAGATTGTTTGCCCAGTATAGATGCCTTATGACCGGTGTACGTTTCGTACAAGTCACTTTCGTTAATGTCTCTTGTGTTACCCAATAGAAATAATGGAAAAGTGTATCTGAAAGTTAAGTTACATTGAATTAATTAATGTTAATTTATTATTGTTTACGTAAGTCTAAGAAAGCTACAGTTTATAATATTTCTAGCTATTAAAGGAACAGGTACTTACAAAAATGTTAAGACAGTAAATAAGTTTGCATGTTCCCTAGGATTCCGTTTTTTCCTGGACTTTTTAACCTGCTCATCCATCTAAAATTACCTATAATACCGAAGTTCAATTCTTACTGAACTGTGTACACTATTATGACGAATGATTTAGCTTTATCTGTAATGTAATACTTTATCAATGACCGCCATTAAAGTTTTTTTATAGTATAAATCTGGATATCGGACGTTTAATAAGTGACTTAAATAGAAGGAAATAGCACATCGTGGTGAATTTTGTGCGAAAAGAAACTGATTACGATTTAATCGAATCTATTTCTACTTTTAATTTGTAGCAATCGTTTTTTAAGCGCATAACAATTAAAAGTAGGAACAAACGTACCTACACTACAAATTGAAGGGCTAATAACTAAATTTCACACTTAATCGATAGGCCATTCGTCCAAAGTGATTACCCAAAACCCATAACACTATAACATCCGGTGTTTCCACAACAAGTAAGTCTGATTTGAGCAAATTTGGTTTCTGTATAAGTCAACGTATTAATTGCACACGAAACTGGGAAGTTCTTGCATTCAGTGATAGTAGGTAATATTCACATGGAGAAAAAACTTTCAATTGCAATTCGAATTTTCTCAGAAGTTTGACTGTAAAATATAGACATTAAAGTCGGAAATCAACGATTTACACTTACTTAAGAAGATATTGGCTTTAATTAGAAACTTCAGAATGGGATTTTTAATAAAAAATTAATGAATTTGTTTATAAGATTTCATGAAATCTCATGCTTATACATTCATATTGAGATATTATGCCGAAAATTTGGTTGTGAAACCGCAATTCATCGTCTGTTCCTTTATGCTACTTAAAAGAATAAAATGTGCCCATTTTTTAAGCACAACCCACAAGAAAAATTCCCGGTCTGAAATAATCACTTTAAATTTTTCTGCAAAAGGGTTATCGTTTTTTATGCAATTTTTTGAGCAAAGGATAAAATATTTCATTCCTAATACTTACAATACGTTTATAATGTTTATAATTATAATACATTTAAAATATGGATATTTTTACGTTTTTTTTTAACTTTTTTCGACTACTTATATTTGCCAACAAATTATGTATTTTTTAATCTATAAATTATTAAAATTAAAGTTTTTTTAATGTAGGTATTTAATTCTATTCACATAAAATATGTGTCAATCTGTTTAATCTTAATGGTTTAATTTTACGTTTTGGCTACATATAAATAACTACAATAAACATAAAATTTAAACAGAATAATACGTAATTTTTAAAACTCTTAATTACTGCAGTATCAGTATCAGCAGTATCTGACTTGCGGTGGCACTCCTCGCATCTCTTTTGTGTTAATTCTTACTTTCAGATTATTATACGTATTAATTATTGTGAATAATAAATGGTTATTGGGAACTCGTGTGTTTTACATTTGTATTAACAAATATTAATGGTATAGTATTACGTTTTTTTTACATTTCAAAAAAACATGTATTTAAACCATATACCTATACGGGAATTAATCTCATAACAAAATATTTATATTTTTAAATATTTTATACGTATAATATAACTATGTTGCATAGGTACTAATTTTACGCGTTTAAAAAAAAATATAAAATGGTTTAATTTTACGTTGTTTTTACATTTCAAATACTACACACTAAACTCAAAATGTATGTAAATGTGTATTCGATTTCGGTGTTAATTACATAAAAAAATATATTTTCAAATGTTTTATACGTATAATATACGTTTAAATATATGTTTAATAGCGCGAAATGGGCTTCGTAGCACAAAATATACGTTATTAACGTGCGGTAGTTAGAAAAATATAACTTCCTTGTGCTTATTGGGTTGGTGCAGGCGTTAGGGAATGCAAAATAAAACAGTACCTACATACATTTTGTTTATAATCCTTGCCGTATTATCGATTATCAATGACACAATGAAGGTAAAAAGGGGATATTTTCGCCCATTTAAAAAAGACCGTTCGAACATTAATAACTACTCTATCACGAAGTTGAGGCCCTATTAGAATTTCGATTTCAATGCCTCACTCTTTGTCATTAGAGGCTTTTTTCGAAAATCGTGGAGAAAAGCCTTTAAGTCGTCGTTCGTACCCAACCAGAGTTAAGGGCGACAAAGATGATCTTTGAAGGCGATAGAACAAATGGTATTTAAAAACCAAGCCGAATACCTTAGAAAGTTACTCCTAATTCTCAACACTCGATTTACTCATTAGTGCGTTGTTTCAAAAAAGAGAATTGGTTTAAGCTATTTTAGTTCTTTGTTGTTTCTAACTTTTGCACAAATAGCTGTATGCAGAGCTGGGCAGAATACTTTCAAAAAGTATTTGAATACTAAATAGTAAATACTTTACACAAATCCAAGGTATTTGAATACTAAATACTTTTACGTCCAGCACAAGCGAATACTAGATACAGATACATTGAAAAGTATTCAAATACTTAAAAAATAAGTATTCAAAAAAATAAGTATTCAAATACTTTGAAAAGTATTCGAATACTTTCAAAAGTATTCGAATACTTTGAAAAGTATTTCATTATTTTACTTTGAAAAGTATTCGAATACAGTAAAAAGTATTCAAATACTTGTCACTCAAATACATTAAAAATTTAAAATAGTATACTTGATAAAAGGCTTAATACTACAACTTAAACAATCATTTCTATTGTTATATACAAATTTAAGGGGAGTAAAAGCGTATTATTATTATTATTATATTAGAGGCACCTACCAGGACCTTTCTTATACCAGTTATATCCTTAAGAATACGTGTACCAGTATTCAAAGCGATCGTACGTCGTGCACATGATACGTACGCCTTTCTGAAATTAATCCTAGCGATTTTGGAACAGATCCATTTTTGACCATCCGTTTGTCCGTGTGCATGATAACTTGTTTAGAAACGTGCGAAAATTGGTACACATGGTCTTAAGGATACAAGAAAGGTCCCTATTGTTTTTAAGTTATGTAGACTATCGAGTTCGGTATTCAGATGTATCGGATTTTTATATTTGATTTTGTGACAATGAAAACTTTCCCTAAACATTTCTAAATTGTTCTCAAATATTTGAATAACAAAAGTACTGCCTTTTTTTGAGGCCGGAAAAAAAAATTGTCTGAGATCGACCGGGAAAAAACATTTTCTTATAGAATTTGGCACGTAGAATCCATAATTTCAAACAGTTCCAAGATTGGGCTACTAGTTCAAAAGTTAGAGCCCTTTGAATTTTCTTTCGAAATTGGTTTCTAGTCTATAACTTTTGATTGAGAAGTCTGATCGAAAAAGTACGAATTGTTTTGGATTCTACGCACCAAAATTAATAAGAAAAAGTGTTTTCCCGAGAAATTTTGGTGTAGTCGATTTTTGGTAAAAAAGGAAGGTTATACACTGCCTTTTTTTGAGGCCCGCAAAAAAAATTGTCTCAGATCGACCCGGAAAAAAATTTACTTATAGAATGTGGCCTGTAGAATCCATAATTTCAAACAGTTCCAAGACTGGGCTACTAGTTCAAAAGTTACAGCCCTTTTAAATTTTCTTTCGAAATTGGTTTCTAGTCCATAACTTTTGATTGAGAAGTCTAATCAAAAAAGTACGAATTGTTTTGGATTCTACACTCCAAAATTAATAAGAAAAAATGTTTTCCCGAGAAATTTTGGAGTAGTCGATTTTTGGTAAAAAAAGGAAGGTTAAGTATTCAAATACTATGCGAAGTATTCGAATACTTCTCAAAGTATTCAAATACCTTGCGAAGTATTCGAATACTTTTCGAAGTATCCAAATACTTTGCGAAGTATTCAAATACTAAATATTTGTGAAAGTATTTGAGTTACAAATACAATAACATACTGCTTCCATAAAAATATTTAATTACAAAGTATTTGAATACTTTAAGGATTTGAATACTAAAAAGTATTTACAAAATCGAATACTACCCAGCTCTGGCTGTATGTACCTCAAGGTTTTAGTAAAAAGTGATCGTCCTGCTTAGCCGGTCATTATTACTACGAAAACATTATTGTAGATGACTTAAAGGTTGAAAACGAGCGGACTCGATCAACAGGATAGCTTTTTCTGAGAATTTAGGTTAGGGCTGAGAAGTTTAAATACAGTAATGATATCCCAAAAGTGTAAAAGAATTTTGCATGTACTATATTCAGTGTTTAGCAGAAGAAAGTAAGAAAGTGTATTTTTCCAAAGCACAAAAAACAGAAAGAAAGAAAGAAAAATAATACATTCGAATTGACAAACAATTTGTTGTTAAAATAAAATTAGACTTAAAGTGCGCTATGGGGAGGTTCCTACTTAACATTGTTGTATGGAGGTTACCCTCAGAAATTATATGGAATGTATTCATGGTGGGAAAGATCTCATATTAATAGGTACACTTTATGCAATAGCAAAAAAAAATAACGCAAAACGACTATACAACTTACAGAAAGAGCAGCGATAGGTCTGGTCATTCGATATACAGAAACAGTAGCAATACCAAGCGGTGCATACATGCTGATTCTCATCATCACGAAAACTTTGGCGACAAGAGAGCAATCCGTATGTTAGGCCCCGAAGAAAACTTGTAATGAGGTCTTTACAACAAAATAGATATTATGTAAGATCTTCTACTGAGAAAGCCAATCGACAAAGAACGAAAACAAATGTCGAACGTTCCAAAGACACGAGATTTAGAAAATTTGTATAAATGTAACATCAAAAACGGTCTTTTCGACGATCGACACCCTTCCATCAATTTTTCTGATATCATCATTATCAGGTGTGAGCGTCTTGTTTTGTATATAGTAAGCTCAGCAATAATTTTCGTAGTTTATTAAAGAAACCCAAACCCGAACATCATTAATTACGATGCAATATAATCCACTTAAAAATGATTTACTTAAAACATCCAGTTCAGTTGTAGACGCTGACTATTCAGGAAACACCTCTTCATATTTGAAATTCTTCGTAATCTTGTTGGCAATGTCAAGGAGAATAACTGACAGTTGTCGTTCCATTAAAGGCATTAGAATTTCAAGGAAAAGTTCTTTGTGCTGGTTGACAATATTATCTGCAGTTTGAACTAAAATAAAATTATGTAACATAAGATCGTGACGATCAAGAAATGTGTACTTAGTAGAGAATTGCTAAAATTTGGACTTGCCAGGGCGATGTGGAACTCAGAAACGTTTACTTTTAGCTCCAAACGTTGGAAATGCAAATGGTATTCACCATTTCCATCTTTAGGTTCGGCGTATAATATCGCGTCGCCAAAACCACGGCCTAAAAGAATGCTTTAGCAAAGAGCCATTTTAAATGTGTTATACTACGCACTGGCGTTAATGGAATATCTCCCTTGTCCTTTGAACGGTATTACAATTTGGGCATTTATATCAAAATCGCCCTCCAGTTTAATTAACGGAATCAGTACTTGAATACCGAATGTTAAATCTGGTACATTTACCCTGAAAATTAAAAAAAATGTAATTAAATTGGTAGCAAACGTGATTTGTATTAATTTTCTCTAGTTTTTCATGGATTAAAAAGCACTATACTTACTTAAGTTTAACAATCTCAAATTCGGAAGCGCCATAAGCAACAGTATTTTTCAATAAGATCTTTAAACTGGACGACCCCTTTCCAAAATCATAATCAGGAACATAAAACGGTTCCAAACTGGGAACATTCAGTTCTGGGATACCCTCCTTTAAACGCGGCCGTAAGAGTTCAACAGATGATTTAATGCAGTCGGCCACATTTGGATCGCTTCGATGACATATGTGAATGTAATCCGCTGAAAGGCAAATAGTAAATTTAACAAAATCCTTCCTATACACTCTTACGAATTTCAAGCTGGGCGTTCACTAGCACGAAAAGGGAAATTAAACTTAGCGAGGCGTACATTGTAAGTTGTTGCCAGCAACCCTTTTCTCTATTACGAGAAGCTATAACGGATCGGTTAACCGCTCGTGTAAAGTGCCCAGACCGGAAAAGAATTTTTGTTTAAATGTTTTTTGGACGTCCTTCGGCAATCTACAGACTTCAAAAGGATATCCAGCCAATGGAACTTGCTAGTTACAGATGCGGTAATTGCGTTTTACGAATTGTATGGGTAATTTACGTTTCAAAATCTCGATAAGGCAGTGACGTCTATCACTGGCCTAGAGACGCAAATCTATTTTAAATTTTTACTTTTCAACATTTTCTCAACGAAATGTTGACATGAGTACCTATTCGTTCAGAGCATTCCAAAAAGCAGAACTGCCCCCTGCCAACCTTAACTTAACTTTATAGTAAATAGGAACCAAACGGCACTGGACTACGAGGAATCCACGGGTAAGACACACAAGTCTGATGGCGATACAGCAAACTAAGCTGACGAACACAAGGGCATTTCTATCATACATTTTTGGAAATGAGTTATTGCGAGTAAAGCACTGATGCGGAATTTTATTTTTCTTTTATCCTTCAATTGCTTTTAGTAGTTTTACAAGTCTAATGTACCATCACCTTGAAGAGAGATCTACATCATCTCAGTTTTTGTTTCAAATTTATAGTCGACTTAGGTGACAAGATAGTAATGAAATGTCCAGCAACTGTTCGAAATACGATAACAAAAGGTCAATTTGTCGCGAATTTGCCGAATTTCACTTGATTCCGAATTTATTTCTAACATTATTGAATTACGTTTGAATTACATTAATTTCAAATTTATTATTTATGGTATTTTTTTATTTAAATAATTTACGTTTGTGATAATTACTACTATAACGAAGTATACTTTCAGATAACTTCTTTTTATTTTTGATTTAAGTAAGTCATACATCGTTAACGAGCTCCTAGCGAGTTCATAATTCCTGTCCGTCCGTCCGTTTGTACTTCATCCCGAAAACGAATGCAACGAATACAATTTAATTTTGCAAGTGGATTCTTTATCAAATTTGTAGATCGGGCTTAGTGAATGGGCAACGTAGATCAATTTGACAAAAAGAAGTTTCTCGTAATATTGCAAGGTGAGACCTTTTTTCTCTAATGTAATATGAATTGCCTAATAGATTTAATTGGAATTATTACTGAAAATAATGTATCATTAAACCAAGGGAAACCAGACGGATTTAAATAGAATGAGTTCCTTGCTCAAGGTTGGTAACTTAAAAAAAATTAAATAAATATTAAAAAGAATGGTGTGTGAGAAATTAAAGAAAACTTCCAATTGGTGTACTTAGTATATTTGGAGACATTGTTTCGAAGATAATCTCTGGAGCTACGTTAAGTCACTAACTTGCAGTAAAAAGTAGAAAGTCAAAAGGAAATATGAAAACCATCATTTTTAAAACATCATTTTAAAGCTTGGACAATCTTAATTAGGGATTCACTACTTGACCCGAATTTCAAGCTAGGTACTTCACTTAACACGACTTGAAATCAAGTCAAGCTCAAGTCAAGTAGTAGAAATTGGCTGTTAAGTCAAGCCAAGTTATGTTATGTTACTTGAATTGTCAAGCTACTTGATTTTATAAACCCTGTGTAACTCGCAGTGGCGCAATCAGAAATTTGCTTTGGGAGGTGCTAGAATTACGAGTTGTCTTAGTACCTACCCCTTTTGTGTAAGCACTTATTCTCTCTAGAATTTTGGGGGGGTGCTTTAGCCCCAAAGCACCCCCCTTGGTTGCGCCACTGGTAACTCAAGCCGACATTCGTTAACCGATAGTTTAAAAAATGGGTTCTGGTTACAGTTGCTTTTCTGCTGGCCAAGAATATGCTATATCCTTCAAAAGATTCAAAGCGAGCACTAGCATTAAAGAACGTCGAGAAAACTGCAAGATATGGATTGATCCATATACGACTTTTAAAACGAAGATCGCTATATCCGTGATTAGTCGTAAGTCCTTTTGTTCCATTTTTATTGGAACGACGACGTGATTGCTAAATTTATTTTTTGCACGATCGGTTATAGTCGGCTACTTACTAATTCATTTTCAAGGCGGTAAGGTGCACTTACCAACCTAGGGCGGTAAGTGTATCATAGCAACGTGCTTAGCAACCAAGTGACAGTTACAGTAACATGCGACAAGTAGGATATGTGTCAAAAATCAAATTATTGTTTATTAATGTGGAAGTTAAATGTACAATTTGCAAGTTACAAAAATTAGTTCGGGAATTAGACAGGCAATTGGAAAACACGGTGTTTACAGATTCTTCACACTCAGCAGTCGATAGAGGATTTGAATTAGTACGGTATGAAATAGCAGGTTTTGTTGATGGCAACGAAGATGATGAAGGGTTCCCTGGAGTTCCACATAAAATCTTCTGAGCGGTTTCAATCTTGTTAGTTAATGACTCACCAAGTACGTGTCATCGGGTGCTTCCGTAAGAAATTTATGGAAATCTGCTTTAGAAAAAACGCTAGATTTTTTTGGCTGATACCAAACGTTCTTTCTTTTCAAAAATGCTATCAGCGTACTGTATTTAGAAATATCAACACACCTCTTAGAAAAATCATATTTTCAACATGGAATAATCACACCATAAGCCATTTCAATCCTTCACTACGTTGAACAAAATATGCTAACACAATTTTTTCACTTATGTCAGTTTGACATTTACTTTCACACCATTTAAGGAAAGAATCATATGCGGCTTCATAGCTACTTTTAAATTTTTCGGGAAAGATCGATGCGCAGCCAATACTCCATGCACCTTCTATTTCGAAATCTTCTGAATCATTTAGGTATGTTCACTTAGTCTCAACCAAACCACGTTTCGCGCACGTGTTGTTTTGTTTTCAAAAACAGAAACGTAACTGTAGCAACCCACAAAAAATTACTGAACCCATTGTGATGCTACCACATTGATACATTCGAATTTAGTTTATATCAATTATAAATTGATCGTGCAAAAAATAGCGTAAGCACCACGGTCAGTAGGTGCTTAACCGATTTCGGATAATATTGCAAACCTCGAGCTGCGCTCTCGGTTTGCAATTATTATCCTCAACCAGTAAAGTACACCTACTGACCTTAATACTTAATATACTATATATAAATTTGCTGCTGAACATTGTTGCGTTGGTAAAAATGAAAGATATAATTTTGTGTATCATCTGCATGCTAGCAGTGTACGTAGTGTAAAATAAAAGGGCGAGTATGGAACCTTGTAGAACCCCCGTATAAATTTACCTTGTCTTGAATTTTTGCTCTTTGAGTTCTATCTGTCAAATGCCTTAGAATAGTTAACAGTGAGCATGTTGATATCCGCGGTTGCTGTAATGATATCGTCCATAATGCATGATAAAGCTGTAGAACTATATCCAGTCCTAAAACCCTACTGCATAATCCGTAAAATGTCGTTTTCATCTAACAATTTTCTGATTTGTATTTCCATTACTTTTTCTAGCAATTTGGATAACACTGATAGAATGCTTATAGGTCTGAGATCTTGTAATGTGCGAACATTTTGGTAAAGGAATCACCTGTGCTACTTTCCAAGCATTAGGAAAATAATTTGGCTCAAGGCAGTAGATAAGGCAAGAGAAAAGGCAGACAAACAGTAATCGTTGAATTACTCACCCCAACAGCATCCACGGTAATTTTTAAGAGTATCATAGCAATATCCGATTCAATCATGAAAGTGAACCTAAAAGGATTTAAATCCTTGAATTTACAATTTGTATTATAAAAATTAAACAATTCTGGATCAGGTGAAATTTTATGAGCATTTAATGATAGAATCCCAAAGGAGCCATTAAAAAATTAGGGTCATTAAACTCAGAAGACAAATAATTTGTTTTGTTTGGGAAAATGTTCATGTCTCTTAGTACCTACCTTCCTTAAATCGTTCAAAAAATTTTTTCGGAGTAGAAAGAATTGGGACCCACACCATTTTGTTCAGAAATGTTTGAACCTTCAGAATCTCGCTTTACGACATTTTCCCGTGGTCCTGACAAAAGTTATAGGCCGTTAAAGATGAATTTTACTCATTTTCGCGTGCGCTACTAGACCACCGAAAGTATTTATTTTCTCAGCAACTAAGCGATATACATCAATCATTCCTTTTGTAAAATGAAAGTACATTTATAGCAGAATCTAAAGCATTCAATTTACCTACCTTGTTATGCACAGTTTTTAGAAAAATGACCGTCAACTTCCAAAATTCGTGTAGCAGATGAAAAGTGCGCACTTTGAACTCTCATAACTTTTTATTTCACGATATCAATTTCCAATATTTATAGCTCATTCGATGCTCCAAAGCATTGTGATTATTTTATTTTCTATAACATTACCGTGAATTTTTCATAATAAAAAAGTTACGGTCATTTAAGTAAAAACCTACCGACCTTGCCGAGTCGGGAGTCGCGAGTGAGACGGAGAGGGAAGGATAGTCAGCAGCGTTCGCTAAACAAGGAGTGATGCGTAAGAGGTTCTACCTCGGGTTCTACTTTGCTAAGAAATTTCTCTCCGAAAACCAAAACTAGCTATTTAGGCCGTTTAGGCGTTTACAAATGCATTCCGCCGAGTTGAATTGTAAAATCTCAAACAATTCATTAACTCCATGTATCTCAGTTCTTTGGTGAAATATATAGGTACAAATACTGTGCGATCAAAATTGAGTTGCTGTCGAGTTATCTTTGTAACTTTCGTTTACATGGGAAATCGTATTTAACTTTACCTTCCAAAGGCGACTCGATAGCAACTCATTTTTGATCGCCCGTTAGGTACCTTTCCCTGTAAATTTTGGGGGTTACTCCACATTAGGTATCTCTTGTGCAAGATCAGCAGTGACAACGGTATGATTTTGTCCCAAAGATTCAGGCTTGTTTTTTGATTTCACTAGACGATGGTTAGGATGGTATTGTAGCTCGTTGGTGGAGAATTCAAAAACGGCATACATATATTGAATGGTAGATACCGGAACTTACTTAGGATTATATCAGCATGTACTTAGGCTGTTAAAGTCAGTTATATCTGGTCGTTATCTAGTGATAGGTAAACGAGGAATTTGGATTTCTTCTGCCGATGTATATCGCTTTTCAAAAAGGACTGTGCGTTGAATTTTTTTCGTCTGTTTCCACAGAATATGGCCTACTTATTCTTATTCTGTGACTGTTTCCTCATTGATGTCGAAGTTATTAATGCTCGCTGTGATAAAATTATCATTTTTTATTTGACAAATTTTTGTGACATGTAGGTAGCAGAACATGTAATATGGACGTTTACTGTACTTGTTATGCCACTGTCGGAGAACATTTTCTGACCCGAAAGACCAATTTGCAAATGAGTGTAACTTTTGTTTGAAAAATGACCTTAAAAAAAACTGTTCAACAATTTTGTTCCGTATGTACCTACACAACAAACTTCGTGGAATTTTGTCAATTTTCGTTGTCCGGCCAAGAATTGCAGTGGAATTATTTTTTTCGTATTTTCAAAAACTAATTTCAGATTCGTGATTTTTATATTCAAAAATCACCAAAATTCGTCGAAATCAACATTTTTTCGCACCCCTATTGAGGGGTGTGCCCTTTTGTGGTAGGAATTTTGAAAAATTATTTGCAAAACCGGAAAGGGCATACAGCAAAACCTATTCAAAGACTTACCACCAGTCTCTGTAACTGTTGCCGAGAAAAAAATTAAAGGAGAAATGGAAACTTTACCACTTTTTTGAGGGTGGCTCCTAAACGAATACATGGAGTTAATGAATTGTTTGAGATTTTACAATGCATCCCGGCGGACACATTTGTAAACGGCCTAAATAGCTAGTTTTGGTATTCGGAGAGAAATTTCTTAGTAAAGTAGATCCTCTTACGCATCGCTCCTTGTTGCGCGAACGCTGCTGACTATCCTTCCCTCTCCGTCTCACTCGCGACTCCCGACTCGGCAAGGTCGGTAGGTTTTTACTTAAATGACCGTAACTTCTTTATTATGAAAAATTCACGGTAATGTTATAGAAAATAAAATAATCACAATGCTTTGGAGCATCGAATGAGCTATGAATATTGGAAATCGAATCGATATCGTGAAATAAAAAGTTATGAGAGTTCAAAGTGCGCACTTTTCATCTGCTACACGAATTTTGGAAGTTGACGGCCATTTTTCTAAAAACTGTGCATAACAAGGTAGGTAAATATGTATGCTTTAGATTCTGCTATAAATGTACTTTCATTTTACAAAAGGAATTATTGATGTATATCGCTTAGTTGCTGAGAAAATAAATACTTCCGGCGGTCTAGTCGCGCGCGCGAAAATGAGTAAAGTTCAACTTTAGCGGCCTATAACTTTTGTCAGGACCACGGGAAAATGTCGTAAAGCGAGATTATGAAGGTTCAAACATTTCTGAACAAAATGGTGTGGGTCCCAATTCTTTCTACTCCGAAAAAAAAACTACCTCAAATAAGCGAGTTAGCGCCGGCTCTCCGCTGCACTAATAGTGACGCTTAGATTGTTAACAGCATTAGTGCATAAGTTATGAAGTCCCTTGTATTCATTCCAAGAGGCCAAGAGCTATTATTTTTGTCACTTTGGAACTTGGCCAGGCTTTTATCTTTTGAATGCATAAGGGCTTTTATACAACCAAGGTATTTGGTCTAGTAAGTCGGACTTTCTTGATAGAAGCAATGAGCATGTTTATGAAATAGATATAAAAGGTTGTCGTCTACTTTACAACGAATACGTAGGTACTTTACATTCAATATTTCTTAAATTGAATAAACGATACCAAGGTAAGATTTGTAATTCTGCAACGAATTCATCCAATTTGAAATGTTAAAATCACCAACACATATTATTAGATGCTTACACAGGCAGAAGTCATTAAAATCCTCCAACGTGCGTAAAATTCTTGAAAATACAAACGGTTAGCTCTGTATATAATTCCAACTGCAATTCGACTATTACAAATTAATTGCTCAAAGTAAATAATACTTTCTGTCTCAATTATTGTAAAATTAAGGTATTTCTCACTTAAATGCCTAACCCACCTTCACCCTTAACTACGTGATCTTTCCTAATAAACCATATAGCCATCAATATTATAAGCATTATCACATACGTTTGAACCATAAAGCAATTATCGAAGTAATTATATATCTTGAGTCGTCATAAAGGGTGCCCATTGTGTATGGAATATAATATACATATATCTAGGTAAATATCGAATGTATACAAAATTATTCTATATGAAACATTTTATTTCCCATAATAAGGTAGCATTCAGTTGTTTTTTTTTCAGAAAACAAATGAGTAACGAAAAAAATTGAATTTTTTTAAATGAATGATAGAGATTTTTTTTCTTTTTTCGATGATATAACATGTCAGTACCCTTATTCTAGAAATTCTTTCAAAAAAATTTATTATAATTACCTCAGTATAACATTAATCCAGATATCCTACATCAAAATAAAACAAATGAACGTGTACGTTTCTTATTAAACCTTGAAAACAAACCGAAATTAGCAGTAAAATGGGTTTCATCGCAATGAATGTTCAAAATGTGGCATATAACCTATCACAAAAAGCTTAAAATAAAAATTAATTTTTTCTACACGGGTGCTAACGTGTTACGTCATTGAAAAGAGAAAAAAATCTCTATCAAATGAGCCTAATGAAAGTGCGCATTGCTATTTAAAAAAATTCAATGGTTTTTCGTTATTCATTTGTTTTCTGAAATAAAAGCAATAGAATGCTTGCTTATTATGAGAAATAAAATGTTAAACAACTTTTATATAGAAAAATTTTGTATACACAGTCGATATTTACCGAGATATGTACGTATTCCATAAATAATGGGCACCCTGTATAATCTTGGAGGAAGTCGAACTCGCAGTGTTCAGTGATGTTTAGGTGAGAGATTTTTCCAGACGTCGGCTAAGATAAAGCTGTAAAAAATAATGCAACATTAAAAAGTACACGATGCCCTACAAACATTTCATTCAATGCAAATTTATTTCATAGATCATACGAAGCAAAAAAACAAACAAGAAAAAAACTAGTTATTGTATTTGGATAATAGAGATAAAGAAGGAACAACGTTCGTTTTCAAAAAGTAAGTTAAAGGCCATAAGAATATCAGTAAACACCGCAGGAAAGTTCGCTAAATGCCTGAAATGCACACGTGATTAGTTCGGATTTTCTGGAGATTCCTTTTTCAAGTTGTCTACATCGGCCGCACAGTATATTGGATGAACTTTGTCTTTCACCTCAGCTCAGGTAACAGCAATTATTGCCTACCCTTTGTTAGGTCTTCTTTAATAGCAATTTTAGAATCTTTGAGAAGCTTAATACGGCTCATTATATCATTTGACGTTTGGTGCTATAATCTTTTCTGTGCGATATTATAGTACACGGCATGCTAGATTTAATAAATTTTCTAAATATATCAAGAATTTCTCGATTTTTTTGTATGTCAACCATATGCATATTTTATGTTGTCGTACAGCAAATTCATTGCTCTTTGCAAAGATTTAGAAAAAACATAGCCATGTCGGGGTACGTAAACCTTAATTACATTACATTGTCGCTATATGAAGTTGCAGAGAAGAGTTTGGGGCCGTTATCCTATTAGATCGCATATTTGGGGGTAGTAAACTGACCATACGACTCGATCCACAGGACAGCTTTTTCTGAGAATTTCGGTTAGGGTTGAGAAGTTTAACAGGGTAACGTTATACGAAAGGTGTATAAAGGAAGATAAGAACGTTCTTCAATTTTTGCTTGCACTGGTCAGGAGAAAAGGTGTGGTAGGGCATCCGGTATACAGAAATAGTACGAATACCAAGTGGTACATACATGCTTATCCTTATCACCAGCCACCAGCACTTCGAATAGTTTAGCGCCAAGAGCAATCAGTCCGAGAACACTTAGACGGAGAAAAGAACTGGTCATTACAACAAAATAGATATTATGTAAGATCTTCTACTCAGCAAGCCATACAATCCACTTCTCTGATGGCCGTCTTGATCAGAGGTGAGCGTCATATGTTTGTTTTGTAAGCTCAGTAATAATTTTCATAGTTTATTAAAGAAATCCCAAACTTTAGAACATCATGCACGCTGCCATATTAATTTACTTCAAAATCTACAACATCCAGTTCACTTCGCTAGACGCTGCTTACTTTTCAGGAAACACCTCATCATATTTGAAGTTCTTCGTAATCCTGTTAGCAATGTCAAGGAGCATAACAGACAGTTGTCGTTCCAATACGGGCATTAGTATATCAAGGAAAAGTTTCTTATTCTGGTTGACCATATTTGCAGTTTTACCTATAAAATAAAATTATGTACCTAACATAAGATCAAGATATCAAGACGTACTTAGTAGAGAACCGCCAGAATTTGGAGATGATAGGGAAATGTGGTACTCGGGGACGTTTATTTTTAGCTCCAAACGTATGAAATGCAAATGGTCTTCACCGTTTCCATCCTTAGGCTCGGCGTGCAAAACAGCGTCGCCAAAAGCACGGCCTAAAAGAATGCTTTAGCAAAGTGCCATTTTAAATGTGATAGTATACGCACTGGCGTTCATGGAATATCTCCCTTGTCCTTTGAACGGTATCAAAATTTGGGCACTTATATCAAAATCACCTTCTACTATTATTAACGGAATCAGTACTTGAATACCGAATGTTAAATCTGGTATATTTACCCTGAGAAAAATTTCAATAGATTTAAATAAATTAGCAGTCAACTATAATTCGCATGGTTTATATTAATTTTTGTCAGTTTTACACTGATCAACACAAAAATACCTATTCTCGAATTGTGCGAATCTGTACTTACTTAAGTTTAACAATCTCAAAATCGGAAACGCCATAAGCCACAGTATTTCTCCTTAATAACTTAAAACTGGGCGACCCCATTACCAAATCATGATCTGGAACATAGAACGGGTCCAAACTGGGAACATCCAGTTCTGGGATACCCTCCTTTAAACGTGGCCGTAAGAGTTCAACAGATGTTTTAATGCAGTCGGCCACATTTGGATCGTTTCGATGACATATGTGAATATAATCCGCTGAAACACAAATAATAAGTTCAGAATCCTCCCAATACACTCTTACGAATTTCACGCTGGGCGTTCACTAGGACGAAAAGGGAAATTAAACTCAGCGGGGCGTACATTGTAAGTTGTTGACAGCAACCCTTTCTTCGATTACGAGATCGCTGGTATAAACTGGCGAGAATCAGAAAAGAATTGTTGTTTAAATAGGTTTTTTGGATGTCCTTCAGTAATCTACAGACTTCAAAAGGATATCCACCCAATGGAACTTGCTACTTACAGGTACGGTAATTGCGTTTTAGGAATTGAATGGGTTATTCATAGTTCAGATTTTCCGTAATGCAGTGATGTTTACTTGTACTGGCCTAGAGACACAAGTCTAATTTACATGTTTTCTACACAACATTTTCTCAATGAAATGTTGACGTGAGCATTCAAAATACCCAAAATCAGAACTGTACATCCTTGAAATTTAGCACCGGCTTGTCATTGCAAGATCTCGGACGCGTCTTTGGAACGACCTAAAATTTTGGCCAACCTACATTAGAAATTAGATAATAACTAAGAACCACTAGACGAATAAGACACAAAAGTTGTACTGATTTTGAAAAGTAGATTAACTGACAAAAGCTAATAGAGCAAACTAACCGGACGAACACAAGAATAATTGTTTTCTATATCACTGGACGCTAAAGTCTTCAATTAATTTTAAGAGTTTTGCAATTCTCATGCACCTATAATATCGCCTTGAAGGTACATTAGAATCATCTCAGTTATTGTTTCAAATGTCGACATAGTTCACTAGCGTATAGTAAGATAGTAAAGGATAAACATTTGTCGTGGTGTGCATAATGATCTTTTATTAGGTACCTACCTAATATGCTAACAGTTATTGACAACTTAGGTATTTTAGGGGAACATAAGCTATCTATATTTAAGAAACATTGCTACAAAACAAAGTGCACGGGCTTATGCTCCGAAACCGTTCGAAAAAGGACAACATTCATTCGAATTTCATCTGATTCAGAGTTTATTTTTAAAAATATTAAAAAGGGTGACTGAGTCAATGTAGAAAATAGCCCAAAGAGACATAGAAGACAACGACGGACCGATGGAAGTAAATATTTATTTTTTGTTGCCGTCGGGATCTCAGAAAACCAAATATCCCAATTTCTAAAATGCTCACGATTACTATACTTTTATAGTGCCTTAGTTTTAGATTTTTTTGATTATAAAGGTTTTCCTACAGTAATCGTATAGTCGTACGAAGAGCTTATTGATACTGCCGGCCTGTGTGGCGTGGAAGCTGGACCTCGGTATGCAGGGTCCTGGTTCGAATCCCGATTCGGGTATGGATTTTTGTAAATGTATAATGGTTGGGTTGGCAAAGCAGCCTTTGCAGTACCCCTGCCCACTTAAGAATAAAGACCAAAAATAAAGCGCAGGTTCAAACGCCTTTTTGTCACCTGTAAGGTTTCTCGTAACTATAGAATAACAAATTTCAAGGCTTTTGAAGTGACGAAAGTTCCTGGTAATAATATCACTAAAACAACCCCAATGAGTCGTTATCTTCAAAATTTTCCGCGGAGTATTCAATTTCATAGCGATTTTAAGGCAGCCGACGCGACGTTCTCAACCTTACTTAACGACCTATTTATTCTGATACCTAGCAGATATACATAAAAATCACAAAAATTCACGACATTCTTTGTGACTGTCCCGCACTCGTCCAACTGAGAGTGCATGTTGGGGGGAATCCTGGCCGCACATGATCAAGACGCGATGGGGCTGATGACAAGCTGGTAAGAGAGGAAGAGAAAGGGAAATAAAATACAGAAGCTATACAAAGAGACAAGATTTGAGAAAGGGGGAAGGCGAGGCAGATTTGAAGTGTAAGGAGGAGAGTGCTATTTGAAATGTCTGAGGTACCAGATGGAAGGGAATAACGAAACAAATGCACAAATAAAGAAATGACTAGAAGTAGCGGTGGGACAAGACTGAAGAAACTTGTCAGCAAACGCAAGAATAAGTCTAGAATAAGAAAATACCTATTATTGACGTATGTAATGAAGAAGTGAGGAAAAAAGAATTGAACTGTAATGATTACAAACACGGTATCACTAGTAGGTATTTGGACGGAGATGAAAAACACCAAATTATGTAGTACCTAGACGAAAACGAAAAGTAGAAGGTGGTCTTTTATTACACATTTGTGTAAGTTTTATCGTTATTTGCGTATGTAAGCATATTTGAATATTTTTATAAATCTATCCATTGAACTTGTGTTTAGCTTGTTTTCGTTAGTTAAAATCGTCTTGCTTGCTTCACTGTAAAGATTTAATATGTATACTTGATCTCCTTCTGTAAAGAGTCTTTAGAAAATTTTAAATTTAAACAGTGCATCCGACTCTTGTTTTACCAAATTAATGCTGTTTTATAACTAAACATTTTGAATTATTTAAAAAAAAACGTTGCAACACAGTAAAAAATATGAGTACAGTACTAATAATCCTCAAGAACGTGCAGTTTGGTAACGTCGTTTCAATCGCTAGTGACTTTAGATTTTCGTTGAGATGGCGGAACGTGGTTACAGGATAAAGATTATGTAACCGTAGAGATTTGTGCCGTCTATGTAGGTTACAGGCTTTTTATTTTATCCTAAATCATTATAGTAACAATAACTCCTTAGTGACGGGTTATGTTATGGCACATTTAACAACACTAGTGTTGAAATTTCTTAACAACCATTCCTTATCTATTGAAGTGTCTAGAATATAATTCATGGAACACATTAACTTCTAAATAACTGTGTATTTTCTTCGGTTTTAGACTTGTTACTGACTGTCCATTAATTGTACAATTTTGTACGTTTTCAAATTTTATTCTTCCCGAAGAAACGGTGCCCGAGAAAGACTGTCCAAGGAACATCGGTGGTGTTAGTATTAGTGCCACTAATCAATCTTGTTTTGGAGAATATGCTGATTGGTCTTCATAAACGATTTAACTATTTCATGGGAAGAAACCTCCACAGTTTCATGTGTGATCAACATTTTTTTCAGCGTCTGGAGATTTTCGTCCATACAGAGGAGGACTCAAATTTCTCCGACTAACAAAAAACTTTCACTTATATGAATAAATAACAGAGAATGACTTACCGGTTCAGAAACGTATGCCAACATGACATTTAAGATAATTTGACTAAAACTAATATTTAGCGGCATTTAAATAAATCAAAATCCTTTTTATATCTATCCACAGACTATTAAGAGTATTAATTAAATTAAGATTAAATTATTAGTTAGTTTGTCAATTAGATTGATCACTACTGTTAATTTTATTTGATGTTAATTCAACTACTCTGCTGCTGTACTTGAGCAAAAATAAAAAATTCTTATTCTTATTTGCAGCGAGCTGAATCAGCCTTTTCTTTAATGTATGAATTAATTTCGCACATTTTCATGAAAATGTTCGCCCCTCGTTCTTCAAACATATTCCCTCGTAATGTAAAACCCATAATAACGTTACTTGGTACGTCAACTACTATTGCGAATTCACCATTGTATTGAGCAAGCTTACGTAATGCTTAATTTAGGTCTTATGGTTAATTATTAAAAGTTGTATGAAGAATCAAAGTTGATGATCAAAAACACCACAAAGTCCGCTGATCCCGCTTGCGAGGCTTCTAGCGCTTATAGTTAGAGAAAACTCCGTGACTTGAATTATACTTGATTACGCAGAATATTTCTGTGAAAATATGGCACTTGATTAATCTTATATATATTATACGTATATCTGTTAAGAACGTTCACTTGTATTTTAAATATTAGTGAAGAGGTGTCAAACTTTGTTAAACTTTTTAATAAACACGATACTATGCTTTAATTTGTTATTAGATTAGTCAATTACTCTGGTATGTTACAATTATGCGTAACATCTTACGGTACAATTTACCTCTTCAGCAATAAAAATTATGATTTTGATCGCCCGCACGTTAGTAAGGGAGATATCGCATTGGGGTAAAAAATGATCCCACACTTTTTTGACGGAAATACACGTTTTGAAACACCAGGAATCCGAATCAAACAAAATTTTGACGATGTCGGCCTGTCTGTCTTTCTGTCTGTCGGTCCGTCTGTATGTAATAAACTTGTTCTCATCATTAAGAATTAGTCTTCATGCTATGATATTATTTATTCAACTCCTTACATCGGACTGTAATTTATTACTAATACTAAAGACTGCTAATTACCAATATCGACTACTCTCGATTAAAAACGTGCATTGGGCTTTGGATATAAAAGTGCACAAATGCTGAATGACAACTTCCAAAATTAGCAAATTAAACGAGTAATTAATTTCTTAATACTAAATTACCAAATGTAGGTAAATCTCGTGTCCATCACATGTACTTATCCTCATTTCCGGCTAAACGGCTGAATTGAACCAAGTTTGGTCCACATATTCTTAGCTTAGACATAAAAGGAAGAGCCGAAAAGCTTTTCTGCAGAACGCGCATGCGAAGGTGTGCGGGTGGAATCTGTGCTAGCCACAGCAAATTTTTGTATAAGGTGTTCTAAAATGGATCCGGTAAGCGCAAATAAGGGTAGGTTAAACATTTACCTGAGGACCATACTTAGAGATCTTCTTTTTTTTTCACAAATGCATAAAAAATCATGCCTCCGACTGTTCCTTTCCTTTTCAATTTTTCGTTGATTGACTTAAATGAAATGAACTTCTTGTAATAACATGGACATGGCTCTTTGGTAATGGATATTTTAACTTAACGATCACGAATGAGTAGCCTTTTGAAAATGCCTCGCTTGTATTTATAAAATTAAAACTGAATTTGGATGCCAATACCATTCAAAAACGCCCATACGACATATCAATATAAATTACATACACAAAACATGATATAAAAACAGTTAACAGATTAAAGGCAAGTTGCAAAAAAAAGCTTGGAGTACCTAAAAGCAGGTAACTGTACGACAAGTGACAGTGACACATCTTTGGTTCAATAAAACCCTTTTGTTAAAAGCGATATGGAAAGTTATATGAGCTTGGAAGCCAAATTCAACGTTAACAACAAAATATAAAGCAGCGTAGGAAGCGTCGAGATACATTACTTACCTTAATGACACGCCCGTAAGACCAGACGGCTTGAGAGGGTGTAAAGACTCATGGCAGATAGAATGGCATAATGTAAGATACTCACCTAAAGGAAATAAAACCAGCCATTATCCCATGGGTATACCAGAAACTGAAGAAATTTTTCTTGATGAAAAACGCGGAAGTATTAATGAAATATCTAAAAATAACAGGACTAATAAAAAGAATGTAATATCTTATAATGGGATGATTGAAAAAGGCAAATACATAGTAGTCGAGCCTTAAAGAAACCGGTTAACGGTTTTTTAAAAGAAAGCACTAATGTGACGTGACCACTTTGTACGTCCGTCTGTCCAACCCTACGGCTGTGTCCCTATTAGATGTTAAGAGCCGGTGCTCTACTTTTTTCGCTATTGGGTTCGTTATGGTGCTGAGGTTTTCACCAAGGAAGGACTTTTTTCTGCGTTTATTACCAAAAAAAGTTAACAAAAACCAATTTTTTCATGTATGTACTATAATTTTACAGTTTTGCCGTTTATTATGCTTATAAATTCTGTGCTTTTTGTACAATCAAATTGAAATGACGTGTCAAAGAATAGGTTGTATATGCGCAGTTGTAACTTTCTTACCTGTGGACGGATTTTTAATAGAGACATCGGTTACGTTGGATTTATTTGAGCATTTAAGTTTCCGTCCGTCGTGTTCGTTGTGTCTTTCTGCTCACCCGAAGCACGTTTATTTTTAGATCGCTGCTTTAAGTCACCCTATATACCATTGGGATCTAGTTGAAATTGTTAGGTAATATTTCAGGAGGTAGGAAAACTATCTATATATTTTTTCTTATGTTAAAATCATGGTTAAGGTTGTTACTTTACTACAACCGTATCTTTAATAAGTAACTAAGGAAGTGTGCCATTATTTATGGCCTATGTGAGGATTTTTCTGAAATTTTAATAAAATGTTCTACCTAAGAAAGAAAATTAAACGGAGCATGATGGACGGACTTTTTGCTATACCCTGACATGTATAAAAAACGTGACCAAAGCTTGGTATGCGCTGGGTCCGTTTCGGTTTTTGGACGACTACACCGGAAAAAATTGGGTGCAAGGGAGAGATTCTTCGCTGAACCTTCAAGGCGAACCCATGTAAGTCGCGTAACATGTATTTTCAACTGAAAGTTTTACGACGAATCCGTATAATTGAAGTATACAGAAGATTCAATGTTTTAATGCGAAAGTTCAAGTTAACTCCCAAATTACAAGGGAAAACTGCAGCGCCAATTCCTGTGTTTTGCTTTTAAATTCTTTGTGAGTTGCCATTACGAGTAAAACTAATATAAAGTGACGTGAACTTTTGAATATTAAAAAGAACCACGACTGTGTTTTTAAAAAACAAAGTAAAAAACACAGTTGTGGTTCTTTTTAATATTCAAAAATTCAAATCTTAGCAGAACCAGAAAATGGAAAACTTCATCACATATAAAGTGACGTATTTATCCAAAGCGGAACTTTGCTGTATAAAGGAATTGACAGGTTGGCTGAGTTATTTTCAATATACAGATTCTGGATTAAACGGTAACCGGTAAAAAGTTTAAAGACGATTAAATAGTATATTAAGATACAAGTGTATAATCAAGTCTTTAAAGCACGCGCAACGAGTTTAAGGGCACGACGCAAAGCGGAGTGCCTTTAACGTTGCAAGTGCTTTAAAGATCAATTATACACGTGTATCTTATAGTATTTTTTATTATACCTGCAGTATAATTTAAAAATAGGAAATACAATGAAGTCATATTGACGTTATACTCGAATACATGTCTAATTAAGTGGGCTTGGTGTTCGTAATTTCACGATTGCCATGGAAATGTCACTTGACGTTTGCTTATAAAAATCATCGTCTTTGACAATTAAACGATTTCCGTTGAAAAAGATAATACACCGTCCATTCAATCGATTGTTGTAAAATCTAAACAAACGTTGGTATAGGTGTAAAATCCAACTCCAGTAAAGCCTATTATAAAGAATATGAAAAGTTCTTGCCATGGATGAATAGGAAGTTACCTACGAATACAGTTTTAAATGCATCCATAATGCTGTCATATATGAAGGAAATGTCAAAGGTATTTAAATCTTCTATATTTTGGTGCATTCATTCAAAACTTTAAAGCAATGCTGCGATTAAAAAGTGGAACAAATTTGGAAGCATGCCCTAAATTACGCGCGTTTGTGAAAGCTTCAACCAAAGGATAGGTACAAAAGCCAAAGAAATGTTCTGCATTTACAGAAAGCGACCTAAGAGGATTTTTTATTTCATCCAGATGACAGTTTCTGTTGGAAAGTGTGTTGTGCATGTTTAAAAAAGGATGAGTTGATTGTTGTTAAAGTGCGATGAGTTTTTTTTGTTTTGTAAAAACGTCAGATAATAAAATTGTGATTTTTGACAGGAAAAAGAAAAATAAAAAACGATTTGAACTTAATCCGTGACAGGACTCATTTTGTAATTAGAATTGATTACCTATTATTTTAGGTAAGAAACCACATATTTGGCGACCGTGTCTATAGATCTTGCAATCTCAAGAAAACGAAGGAAAGATGAACCAAGCATCCCTTAGCAGGAAGCGCGCTCCAATGCGAGCAATGATTACAAAGACTATTAAGGAAATTGAATTGGCGCTAGATACCAGAGATCAGACGACGTTTGAGACAAAGATTCATTGGTTGAAAATGAAAGGTGAAGAATTAGCGAAAATGGATGAAGAAATGATGAATATTCTTGCCGAGTCGAATGATTCGGAAGAAGTCCTAATATCAGAAGCCGAAGGCGCGCAGCACTACCAAGAAGAAATATACCGCTGCACTTTATTGAATACGAGTTGTGAAATTACATCCGCTGGTGTTACTGTATCGAATAGACCGGAAGTAGGTAGAATTAAGTTACCTAAGCTAGATTTACGAGTTTTTAATGGAGAATTAGAGGAGTGGCTCGGCTGGTGGGCTCACTTTGAAAAGATCGACAAAGCTTCTTTGGACGACGCAGAGAAATTTCAATATCTGGTGCAGGCTCTGGCAGGACCTGCGAAAGAATTAGTTTTAGGATTCCCGCCAACGTCTGAAAATTATCCTAAGGCTTTGAATTCCCTAAAAGAACGTTACGGAAACCAAGATTTATTAGGCGAATTGTATACGAGAGATTTATTGCAGCTTTGCATACGACAGTCGAAATCTAGACAGGATATTCTTCAAATTCATGATAAGGTTGAGACAGCATTACGTTCTCTAGAAAGTTTGCAAATTAATATGAAAGATTGTGCTCCTATAATTACCCCATTAGTTGAATCTACTCTTCCTGAGGAAACGCTCAAAGCATTTCGACGCGCATTACCTGTTGAGAAGCAATCATCTAAAGATCGACTAACATTTTTACTGCAATTCCTGAAAAAAGAAATTGATACAGAGCAGAGGGTAAAATTAGCTTCTAGATGTTTTGACCCTTTTCCGACACGAACGCGTACAGCTCAAGTACTACATACTAAAGAAAGAACCTTTGAAAATATTTGTATTTTTTGTGAAATACCCGGACATAAAGGAAAAAACTGCAGGAAGGCGCTTAGGATGAAAATAGACGATAAGAAGGCTATTTTATTGAAGAAGGGAGCATGCTTTATATGTACCGAAAAAGGACATACCCTCAAAGATTGTAAAATGAATGAAAACTGCCCTGTTTGTCAGAAGAGACATGTTTTACCTATGTGTCCTGTAAACCGTTTCTATTCGACTGGAAGAGGAGTTCCACAAGAAGAAAATAAGAGTGAAGTACAACCGAATCCTGAAAAATTCGAAAATAAGGAAACATCTTCAAACTCGGTAGTTATGTCAGTTGCTACGATTTTGCCAACAATTTTAGTTCCAATTAGAGGAAGATGGGGACAAGTCCGCAAAGTACAAGCCCTTGTAGATTCGGGATCTCAGAGATCATATATAATTAGTAGAGTCGCGACAAAATTGCAATTGCCTATTATTGGAACTGAAAAAGTAGCATTTGCCCTCTTCAGTGGAGTAACATCAAAAGAACAAGGACTGAATTGCTATAGAATTACAGCTCAATCAAGAGACACTATTTTAGAAATGGAAGTATTAGGAACAGATCGAATAACCAACTATACCACGCAGGTTAATGTTAAAATTGAAGGAAAAGAAACAGAAATTAGAGCTAGTAGCGGTCCAATAGAAATGTTGATAGGAGCTGATTATTTCGGTTCTCTACTGACCGGAAACTGACGAGTTTTAGATAAAAATCTCACGGCATTTGAAACTTTATTTGGTTGGACTGTGTTAGGAACACCCTCTGCACTTAGAACCTTCTCAACGTGTGTTGCGATAAATCACATAGAAGAAATACACGACCTTGAAACTAAATTCTGGGAATTGGAACTTCTTGGTATTAAAGATGATGCAATACAATGTGATAAAAAAGAAGAGATCATGAGAAATTTTTATGAGAATTTCAAGTACGAAAATAAACGCTATACTGTTTCGTTACCTTGGAAAAATGAAGTTCGTCCTCCGCCCAATAGAGCTCTAGCTGAAAGGCGATTAAGAAGTGTATCCAGTAGGATGACTCCTGAATTATATACCGAATACGATGCAGTTTTGAAAGATTGGATACTGACTGGTATTTTAGAGGAAGCTGAAGATAACGATAAAGGACACTATCTTCCGCACCGAGTTGTCGTACGTGAACAAAGTAACACAACCCGAGTGAGACCTGTTTTCGATGCATCCGCGAAAAGCGGGTTTTTGCCTTCGTTGAATGATACCCTCTCTGAATGCATAAATTTTATTGAATTATTGCCAATAATTCTCTTAAGATTTAGAGAAAATTTAATCGGTTGTTGTGCCGATATTGAAAAGGCTTTTCTTAGAATTAACGTGGAGGAAAAGGATCGCGATTTTTTGAAAATACTTTGGTGGAACGAGGAAGGAGAGATCATTTCATTAAGACATACCAGAGTTGTATTCGGCCTAAAACCGAGTCCATTTTTGTTATGTGCAGTAATCAAGACTCATTTGAATAAATTGAAAGACAGCAATTTCAAATTTCCTTGGGTAATTGAAAAGATGAGTAATTCGTTTTACATGGACGATCTAGTCTGCAGTGTGAATTCTAAGGAAGAGTTAGATGAATTTTTAATTCAAGCTAAAAATGTTATGGAGTCTGCTTCGATGATTTTGAGAAAATGGAAATTTAGCGGTTGCGATACACATGACGTGACAGTTTTAGGAATCCTCTGGTCTACGGACACCGACGAATTAGGATTAAACATTGATTGGTGGGAAGAAGAAAAGTTGCAGAAGCGGGACACCAAGCGTCGTATTTTAAGTTTGATTCACAAGCTATTTGATCCTATTGGCATAGTATCGCCTGTGTCAATAGTTCCTAGAATTTTTATGCAGAAGATTTGGAAGAATAAAATAGATTGGGATACCCCAATCAATGAAGAAGATCGAAAAGAAGTTGCAGATTGGTGTAAAGATATTCATTTGTTGAAGAAGGTTAAAATTCCACGATTACTAGGTAATGTAGAAACGATTAAAGGTGTTCATGTCTTTTGTGATGCCAGTAAGGCTGCTTATGCCTGCGTTATACTTGTAGTAATCGAAGATGATGATAGGAAAATTGATGTTCGTTTTGTTACCAGCAAAGCTAGGGTAGCTCCGAAAAATGTAACAATTCCAAGATTGGAACTGATGGCCGTTTTAATCGGTGTAAGATTGTTAAAATCAGTCTTAGATTCAATGTCTTGGAAGGACAAACCTGTATTCCTGTGGTCCGATTCAACTACAGTCATACAATGGATAAAGCGAAATGAAGCGTGGTCAATTTTTGTAAAGAACCGAGTCACAGAAATTCGCAGAAATTTGGCACCCCATGTAACTATAAGGCACGTACCTGGGGCTAATAACCCGGCAGATTTACCATCGCGTGGATGTAGTATTAAGAAATTTATAGAATGTAAATGGTGGGAGGGACCATCATGGATACGAAATTTAGAAGAATGGCCGTATGAAACAGAAGCTTTAGATGAAATAGAAATTGGTCTTGAAATGAGAAAGATTGAAAATGTACATGTTTGCACTGAAAAATTGAATTGGAAAGACCATTTCTTAATACGCTACTCTTCGTTTCAAAAAGCAGTTCGAGTTCTAGCTTGGATACGTAGATTTTTTAGAAAATTTCGAATAGGTGAGCATCTCGAGCCAGATCTCACTGTAGAAGAAATAGGAATGGCAGAGGAACACATATTTAAGCTTATACAAACGGATTTAAGAACCGATGGAAATAACTTAGAAACATTTAGAGATTCCAAAGGATTGGTAAGATTGCGAACCCGTATTGTTAATCGAGATGATAATGAATTATTCCTGTGCCCGATTGTATTGCCTGGAAGCAACGAATTAGTCTATCGATACATTCGTGAGCATCATGAAAGAATGGGACATCAAGGAGTGCAATTGCTCTTGAATAATATAAGAGAAAGGATTTGGGTGATAAGTGGACGACGTATCGTTCGGAAGGTAGTAAATTCGTGCGTCATTTGCCGAAGGTTTAGTACTAAGAATTTAGAACGACCCACACCCCCATTACCTGTGAACAGGATTAAAGATGCGGCCTGTTTCGAAGTTAGCGGTGTCGACTTCTGTGGACCGTTTTTACTGAAAACTGGAGAAAAGGCCTGGGTATGTTTATTTACCTGTGCTGTATACAGAGCTGTTCATCTCGAATTATGCCTATCATTATCCACGGATTGTTTTCTACAAGCATTAAGATGTTTTGTTGCACGAAGAGGGAGACCTAAGAAAATTTATAGCGATAGAGGAACGAATTTTGTTGGCGCAGCTAATCTACTTGAATTAATTAACTGGGAAAAGGTAAACAAATTTGCTACAAGTGAACGAATTGATTGGAAATTCAATGTGCCCAGTGCCCCTTGGTGGGGAGGTTGGTGGGAGCGTTTAGTAGGACTTCTTAAAAATATTATGAGGCGTGTATTAGGACAAGCCACCTTACATTACCAAGAACTTTACACAATCTTGTGTGAATGTGAAAGCATTATGAATAATCGTCCTTTAACTTACTTAGATGAAGGTGGTGAAGTAGCCCCGTTGACCCCAGCTATGTTTTTAAGAGATCTTATAGAAGATGGTATGCCTGAAGTTCGAAGTGAAAGAGATGATTTAACCAGACGAGCATTATACCTTGCAATGCTCCGGAGAGACCTGAGAAAACGTTTTCGAAATGAATATTTAGGTTTTCTTCGAGCTCCTCGTCATAAGAGTGACTCCCGCTCCTTGATGATTGGCGATATAGTTCTAATTGGAGACGACAATACCAGACCTTTGGATTTTCCCCTTGCGGTGGTAGAAGAAATGGTTCCTGGTATAGATGGAGTTGAACGAATGGTTCGGCTACGCACAGAGAAGGGAAAGATATGTCGTCCGATTCAGCGGCTCTACCCACTAGAGATTCGTAGTTCTATTGGTAAACTGAAGGAAAATGCTGAAGTGGAAACTACCGTTCCACCTATTGACATGGTGGACTTGAAGGATGACAGTCAAGAAGATTATGCATCGGAAAATACAGATGTTATTGATCGAAGAGGACGGGTTATACGTAGACCAAGTCGTTACCTTTGATCAAGAAAATAAGATTTCTTGGGTGGGAGTATGTTGGAAAGTGTGTTGTGCATGTTTAAAAAAAGGATGAGTTGATTGTTGTTAAAGTGCGATGAGTTTTGTTTTGTAAAAACGTCAGATAATAAAATTGTGATTTTTGACAGGAAAAAGGAAAATAAAAAACGATTTGAACTTAATCCGTGACAGGACTCATTTGTAATTAGAATTGATTACCTATTATTTTAGGTAAGAAACCACATATTTGGCGACCGTGACAGGACTCATTTGTAATTAGAATTGATTACCTATTATTTTAGGTAAGAAACCACAGTTTCAAAAGTCATACTTGAAGTATCGTTACTTAGCAACTTTAAAGCACGTGTGTTTTAAAGGCCCTTTTTCGCACGCATTTGAGTGTTTAAAACGGAGATTGTGATTCAGGTATAATAAAAAAGTGTTTTTGCTGGCTGTCAAAACCCTAAGTAAAGAAGGAGAAAATCTAAAACACTTGAGACATAGTATATTCCATGAACAGATTTATATACTTTTTATGAATGATAAGCGATTCCAAACAAAAGATTTTGGTGATTTTCTTCATTAATTAATTACGAAGAATCGCAATTTCAGTCGGGGAATTTTTCGCTCAGCTCGTATTCGGAAACCAGACTTTTGATATCCGGCTCATCTTCAATAGCACTGATCCTTGAACTCGTAGAAATCGATTGGCGAAGATTTGACATCGCTATCTCTTTTCGTTCTCGCGTTAGATGAGGAACAGGCAGACGGACAGACGGACAAAATAATCACGTAAGGAGAATTTTTATTCTTTCGAAAAATTCCTCTAAAAGTGGATTGCGAATGCACAGTACATTACTTTTTGAATTGACCATTTCTTTTCTGAAATTTTAACTGAAGATGTTTACTTACAAAAGCGATCACACGTCATCAGAAATTGATTGTTTATGCGCAAAGTCATCCTTCTTAGTTCCAGGCGGATTTGAAAATGAATTTGACTATAGAGCAAGTAACCATTTTTTTAAGACCGCGAATCAAGTTGTTAAAATAGAAACTAATCGTGGTAATTTTACTTATCGGGCAGGAAAATTATAACAAAAAAGTTGTTCCTCGCTATTATGCATTTATGCATAGGGTACAAAAAGTAGTTGTGTCTTTTGTTGTTAAAGCTGTACAAACAAATTTTTTACACCATCTATGAAGAATAAACTACGCCCATGAATTTTGACAATAAGCTCAATCAAATTTTGATTATTTATTAAAAAAAAAAATAAAAAATAATGACAGGATGAGATGAAATAGAATTTTTCTAAATTTACCCAAAGTTCTACTACTGCCCCCAGCAAATTTACCGCTTAGCATGAAATTACTATGCGGGAAACACTTCGTCGTATTTAAATTTTTTCGTAATTTTGTTAGCGATGGACAGAAGTATAGATGAAACTCGTCGTTCGATTAATGGCGTTACAATCCCAAGGAAATCTTTCCTGTTCTGATTAAGAATGTCATTCGCTGCTTTGACTAAAATTATAAAATTAATAAAGTATGATGGTCAATGTACATGCATACTTAATGTGACATCGTTTGGAGTAGGAGTCTCTAAAAGGATGTTGTAGTCCCCGATTTGCAGTTGGACCTCCAAACTTGTAAATTGGAAGGTATTTTCACCATTTGCTTGTTTAGACTCGGCCTTTAGTACAGCGGTTCCAAGACAGTTAGCTAAAATAAAGCGTTAAGAAGTGCAAACAATTAAAAGCAGAACGTACTCGCATTTGCATAAAATTTGCCTTGCCCTTTGAATGGTACTACTAAAATTCGGGCGTTTATATCGAAGTCGCCAGTCAATCTTAACAAAGGTATTATTACTTGAATACGGAACGTTAAATTGGGAATATTTGTTCTGAAACAAAAGCTCATTTAGTTCAAGGGCACAGCGAAGTTTTTTAAATAATTAATCGACATAAAAAACTCGATCACATTATATAACAGATAACAACCTATTAATTAGTTACTAATATACTCGTAGATCAACTTACCTACGTGTAATGGATTTATAATTTGAAATAACAAGCGTCATTTGTTTTTTAGAGTTTTTCCGAGAAAATTAACAACAGCCAGCGGCGATTTGTCTATATAAGAATTATAAGGCTATAGGTACTTACTTTAGTTTGACAAGCTGAAAATCGGAAGCTCCGTAAACGTCAATGTTTTTCAGTAATGCCTTAAACGTAGGCGATCCTCTTCCGAGATCTACGTCTTCCACTTTCAGAGGTTCCAAACCAGGCACGTCTAATTCTGCAATGCCTTTCCTTAAACGCGGTCTTAAAAATTCAACAGATTCCTTAATGCAATCGGCAACTTGCGGATCGCTTCTCTTACAAACGTGAATATAATCCGCTAAAACGCACACAATAGTAAAGCCACCCTATATTTAACACCCCTTACGTATTTGGGCACGAGCGCTCACAACCACCAAAAGGGACACCAAACCAAATTCGAAGTACATGTTCACTTCTACCGATCAATTTGGACAATAAAAGTAATGTACCACTTAATTGACTTGTTGTGGAGTAGCCGATAAAAAAGACAAGCTTATTTATATAGTAGGTAAGATTTTTTAAACGTCCTTCAGCAATCTACGAACTTTCAACCATAAATCCAACCAATGAAACTTATATATACAGAAACATTGAATGAAAACTCACCGTATGGTAATTATGTCCTATTTCCAATTGCAATTACAAAAAAGGACTATAACCTTAATTGCCACCGAGCAATTAGATAATTGTAATATGAAATTAAAAGTCTTGGTGTTTATTCTAATGCCGGTAATTAATGAGCATATCTTGAAGATCTAATGCATTTACCTTGGACGATTGTGGGATAGCTCAATCCGCCCAACAAAGTATTACCTATTTATTCTATGACTTTGACATTGCTTCACGGTGGAAAGTTAGGCTTTTACTTTAATTTACGGAAGTTCACCAGGAAAACCGTATTTAAGTGGAGCTAATCTGACTGGCTTAATGTGCGTTTCCAAAAAGTAATTAAATTAAATAATACTCGCTTAAAAAACGTGTAGTTTCGATTACTGCTTAAATTTTCCGGTTATTAAGAAACAAAATTCTCTACTACATTGTCGCTGGTTTTTGCGCACTTACTTCTCCGATTTTGGTAAACTGTACAAGTCATCTCTACACTCACTTTTTACTTTCTTGGTCCAAGCATGATGCCGATCCCTAAATTAACAGCCAAATGAAGTTTTATTAGGGCCAATTTAGCGTTCTACACGTCTAGGTAGGTATGTGAAATAGGGAAATTAACAAACTACGAATGGCTTGGCTTTCATATTGCGCTAGCCGATGTTCTGTATTTAATTTTATGTTTGTATTTGAGCATCTTGGCCTGTAAGTAATTGTTTCTTCTTTACAGATAAAAGAAGAACCCGGTAATTCCAACTTTACGAAGAAGCTGCTTTCATATGTGGCTTCGATCTAAGACGACTTCCTATATAAACAGATCGAACTAATTTTGAAAGAATTGTCACGAAAAACGTATTAAAGACACGTGTTATTGGAGATTTGATTAAAATCCTAAAATTTGGTGGGAGGTGCTCTAAAGGTTACGATGAAGAGAAAATTTGGGGTGTATTAAGAAAGGAACTAAAAAACGAATTGCTTTTCAGTATAACGTCCAAGATCTCAATCTGCCAAAGCAAAGATTATTAATGCCACTTTAATAACCGATTCTGTCCTTCTGTATCTAAGAATATGTGTAAAAAATTTGGTTCCATCCGTTTAACCGGAAATAAGAGTACAAACGGACCGACATACCGACATCATCGACATTTTGTTTGCTTCGGAATCCTGGTGCTTCAAAACGTGTATTTCCGTTAAAAAATTGGGGGATCATTTTTTACCCCAATGCAATACCTCCCTTATCAACGTGCGGATGGTAAAAAAAAATTCAGTCAACCTCTAGAATTAGAAACTCCATTAAATGAAATTTATGTGTTTCCTCTTCGGTTTAGTTTGAGATGTTTAATATACAGATCATTACTTTTGCTACGCCAAAGGCCATGCTAATGACTTTGGGAAAACCTTGGCACAAGAGGAACTGAAAAGGTATTGACGAGTTCGAGCAGGAAAAAAGTAAAGTCAAGTGTAATTTTAAGGACTGTGAGTGCATACGCAGTTCGGTATGAATGATGCTAGTAGACAACCTTAATCGCAGTAAAGGTAAGTGCCCTGGACCGGAACAGCAATGTCAAACAAACCGCTTTAAATTATTGTTTCTTAGCAATTTCGCTCAAAATGTATTAATTTGTCACATCACTAAAAATAAAAGGTGACCTTATTCGATACACATGTCCATTAACGATTAATTAATTAAGAAGAAATAGTGGGAGTAAATTGACCACAAAACACAAAAAACGTTAGCGTCAAACGTGAACTTGAGTGTTATTTTGCGCTTTAGGTATACAAGCACAGATTAACTACAATAGTAGTTAATCGGTGATACAAGATATTGTAAAATTGTTTTCTTTTGCGCGCATGGCAACAAATGTGGGGTGGCATGAAGCTTAACGACTCTATTGACTTATGAAATAACACTCCATGTTCTAGGGACACCTCTTGTACGACAAAGCTCACTCACTGATCCTTTGATCCCTAAAGCCTGCGAAGACAACTCCTAAAATGTTAAACGGCACAATATTGCATTGCAAGTGGCATATTTCATTTGATTATTTAATTGCCAGAATTAAAAGAGCGAAATCATAAAATGGTACGCGTACCATCTCTTACTGCAATTATTTACAGTATAGGTGCAAGGTGTCACTTTATTTTGTTTATAATTTTGAAATTTGTTGAGATACACTCTCTGACTACTCTTGACCTTTTTTGGCAAATTTAATATCATAAATTAAATGACAATTATAATAATCAAATTTTGATGTATAGTTTTGCGGTTAACAATTTTTATGAATTTTTACACTATACAGTGCATTCAATAAAAAGTGCATATTTTACAAACCAGGCGAGTGAAGAGTCATTATTCGCGTAATTGTTTACGCTGAAGCGATTGAGACCATACCCATACTTAGGTATAGGATAGGATCAATATTTTGCGAGATATGAATGGTGTTTGTTGAAAAAAGATGGAAAAAGAAAATATTTCCAATGAAAAGTAGGTTTAATCCACCAAAAACGATTAGTGGAGTAATAACGATATTTACTACTGCTTTTAGAATCTTTGAGTTTAGTCCGTATATATCTACCGATGAGCTATTCGATAAACTCATAATAGCGTCTCTAATATGAGTTTGGGTCTGCAAATATATTCGACATGTTATGATTTATACAGTATTTACAATAGGCTAATGACCAAGTAGTCGACGCCTTAAAAAAAAAAAAAAAAAAAAAAAAAAATATGAGTTTGTGATACCTATTTAAAGGAAAATATGTTTTTTGAAGTATTTGTTTTGTTTAATAAATCTTTTGAGGTTTTGCAGGTTGTAGCAAGTATTGTATTCGATCAGCAATATTTGCAAAGTAATTATTTAATTCATTTTCTGTTGGCGTATCTTTATCGATTTTTATTTTAGCCTTGTTTGTTTTTTGCTTAATTATATTCCATCGTGCTTTATTAGGGTTTGAGCTTTGATTTATATAATTATCATGTGCCTTTACTTTAGCATTTAATATTGCCTTTCTATATTGTAATTTAAATTTTTTAATTGCTGTCTCAAGGTTTGGGTTTAAATGGCTTGATGATTTGCTTAAATCACACAGAAAATGTAGGTGTTCTCGCATGGATTTTAATTCATCATTAAACCATGTTATTAATCTAAAAGGGGTAGTTTTTGAAGAATTAACTTTAATATGTCTAATTGGAAAAGCAGTATGATGTGCTTTAATTAGAATATTATTAAATTCTTCAAACTTTCTATTTGAGCTTGTGCCACCTACAAAGTCAACTCTTTTCGCAGAGAGTAAGTTGTGAAATTTTGAAATTCCGTATTGAGTAATTGGTTTAATGCTATAACATTTTTCCCTAAGCGGAAGGTTTACTTGGGAAGCTAATGCTACGCTAATTAGCTGACCAGAGTGGTCTGATATAAGTATTTAGGTCACATATAGACGTACTTATTATCAGATGCGTTTAAATTTGTGAGTATATTGTCGATGCAATTTCCCTTTCTTGTACCTTCAGTTACAGTTTGTTCTACCTACTGCTGTTTTTACAGGGTGTCTGTCGTATTAATAAAGGTCACAGGCTGGAACCGTCAATTGCACAGCTTAGACAAAAATATTTTGTAAACTAAAGGAGACAAGAGAAATCGTCGGAAATTATTTTGAAGTTTCTAGGTTTGCCGCTAGAAGGCGTACGATTCATAGTTAACTATTTTTCGTAAAATATACCCAACAAACATGCATATAAACATGCATCACAATTTTGTATTTAAATTTTCAAGAAAACCTACAAAGTTTATGTAAATAGTATATTACAAGAACTTTATATTGAGATTTAATGTATATTATCGTGTTACCTAATTCGTTACCCTCGATACTAGATAGGCAGCAGCTTTTGTTTGAATTTGAAGCGTCATGGCGTTTTATCGCGTTTAGGAAGTTTTATTGTCATTGCAACGAAATAAATGCGTGATTGAAAATAGTTCAACACTCAACGTGAAATTTACACTAAATAGTAAAAAATGAAGCATAATTTATAAAACACAATACTTAGACTGCCAAGTGCCAATGTAATGCCGCATAGGGGTGATTTACATACGAACATAATTATGTCGAAATAAAATCGGTTCATCTGTGCCTCGCTGACTTTGAGGGTGAAAATTGTGTAATATTTGTTGTGTATAATTATTTTCATGTAATAACCGGCCTAGAATCCAAAACAATTCGTACTCTTTCGATCAGACTTCTCAATCAAAAGTTATAGACTAGAAACCAATTTCGAAACAAAATTCAAAGGGCTGTAACTTTTGAACTAGTAGCCCAATCTTGGAACTGTTTGAAATTATGGATTCTACAGGCCACATTCTATAAGAAAATTTTTTTTCCGGGTCGATCTGAGACAATTTTTTTGCGGGCCTCAAAAAAAGGCAGTGTATAACCTTCCTTTTTTACCAAAAATCGACTGCACCAAAATTTTTCGGGAAAACGCTTTTTCTTATTATTTTTGGTGCGTACTAATAACCCATGCATCGCGAAAGTTGGTTTTGCCTTTATTCTAGTGTACACCACCTTCGAAAAGCTTTCTTTTCAGATAAGTTTCTTGACGGATAGGGCTTTAATAAATTTTTAAAAAGTGAAAGGTCAGTATTTCCGATGAAGTATTATGGAAAGAATGGGTCATGTGCTTCTTTGGGTACAGGATGCGGTCGTCGCATATTTAAAGTGTCCGCTTTGAGGTTTCGTCCAATTCTTGAATTTTTAAACACTGTCCCATCACCGTTACTTCCATAGTCGCCCATATCAATTGGAATAAAATTGCTCTGTATCCGCTATAGCCAATAATTGCAATAAAAATTAACTTTATAAATTGGATTCTAATGTGTCTCCCATCGATGCCCCC